CTTGACCCCTACAGTCTGTTAAGGCTATACAGGAGATATTTGTCTTTGATGAGATTACGGTACAAGCTTACATTTGAACTTGACACATTTGCAAGTGTGTGTGTACCAGTATATATACTGGTACAATTTATATTTCCATGCTACATTTCTATTTATTCATCTTGATTCGTTTAACTTGTCTCTATCTTACTCTCGTATATCATTCATTGTATTGTGTGTTCATGGAACTTGCTGACCCCAGCCCCTGTGAAGAAGGGGCTGCATAGTTCCATAAGGTTCCTCCTCCAGGATGAGGAACGATTCCGAGGGTGCTGTAGTACCCTGTAGTACCCTGTGGCACCCTGTGGCCCACTCGCGGGTGGCACGTGCAGGCGAGGAGGGAGGACGTCACCCTCCTCCAATTGAAACCCAGCGACCTCCACCCGGCAGGAAGGGCTCTGTCCCTCCCTGGTCTCAGGGGTGGTCGCCAAGCAAGTCACATCAGAGGCACTCACTCAGAGCGATTATCGATTATTGCATTAATGGAAACAGACAACTCTAGCCATTTAGACTTAATCAACTGATCGTTTATTATAATTGTGTAACAACAGCAATATATTTCATCAAGCAGGTTCACTAATTCCTCATCGCGCTAATCTCCACCATTGTAAATAATTAACCCCATTAACAAATCAACGCTTAACTCGAATCACTATGATATTAAAACGTCCGCTTCATTAGCATCACAATACGCCGTAATATAACCAAGGCCGGCCGATTCTCACCAACGGCTAAATAGATTCACATTGAACCAATCTGACCCGCCAATCACAGACAATCATCAACCCGCAATGAGCGTTAATTAAATCTTGACTTAAAGCTTTCGTCACTGCAGGAATTCATATTCTTTGGGTCTTTCGGTAAAGTGAACCTATCTCCGTGACTTTACCGAAAGACCCAAACAATACGGCGTTAATTCGTAAATTGTTTCACGTGCATGGGTGTGGTGACGTCAGAGCATCTACTGAAGGACCCGGATGAGGAAGCGCGGGGAGCGCGGCGCTGCTAGGACCCCTGGCGGTGCCTCCTCCCCCGGAACGTCACGGGACATCGCCAGTGGTGTCGCGCTACTTGTTACGCCTCGGTTTGCTGACAAGCCAAATCAACTTCATTTCATTGGCTCTGACGGGTGATCGAGGAGGAACTTTGCATGGTGCCCTGCGCGATACAACCCTGAACTCATTCTAAGTGGAGCTGTGTGAGTCTGTTCCCGGAGCTGTCGTTGGCGGTGCTCGTTCTGCTGCTGCGGCGGCTGATGCTCTTGCTCCAGCAGCGGCTGCTTCTCCTGGAGCTGCAGTTTGTGTCGATGGAACGGCTGAAGCTGCTGCCAAGCAGCTCCCAGTTGCCACTGCAGCAGCAGCTGCTCTTGCTGCGGACTTGCATGCGGTTGCTGATGCTGTTGCTCCACGTGCTTCTCTCGACGCTGTAGCAGTCGCTCCCTATGAGCTGCTGCTGCTTCTGTGGTTTTGCGGAGCTGTTTCGCCGCCTCGGACAGCCGCAACACCACCGCGTCCTGGAAGTGGTGATGGCCCGTGCCATGGTGGTCACCGCGCCACCTTGTTCCCATGGCTCCCTTTCTCTTGAACATCAACTCGGCTCCTCCACCGTTAAGGTGTGCCCATACAATGGTCGCGTCACTACCAACGTCTGAGTAAGTCTGCTTGTTGAGTGGTCCAGATGTCTTGTGACCCCCCCCCCCCCCCCATTTAATTCTCTAAAACAATATTTGTTTTAATGTAACTTTTATTTAAAACAGAAATTAACGTGTAAAGGGCAAACAACTGTTAAGAGCAAATTAATCGGAGGTCACAAGATATCTGGACCGCGCTGTACAATGGACGCAACCTCCGAAGGGGCTGCTGCTCTTGGTGCAGTCGCTTCCACTCGGGGGGATGAAGCGGCGATGGTCTCGGTGGTGTCCCCAACAGCCCCGACAGCCCCGGGCCGTGTCTGTGGGTAAACAAACCCAGAGCTGCAGTTATCTGACCGCACCCCCTGGAACCGGCCCAATATGATTCCGCTGCAGTCGCTAGCTCGATATCACTTCTACCAAGCACGATACAGTCCCGCTCGCTGGCTGGAGGTTTGCCCTCTGGATCTCCGGCCACTGGTCTCCGTAGCCTGCCCTCGACCACCGGTGCCATCTATCGTTACCTCCTCGCCGATTACATTTACAACACCTGCTCGCTTCGATACGGCCAATTGCGCGACTTCTACATTTGAATAACAGCGCCGAAAACTTGGTTAACATGAGCCACATCACCGCTTCCGTGGCTCGTGAAAATATAAATCTGCGGGACCTCCCTCCGTCCCCGCTGCATCTCACACGGCCTCTTGCCCTGCCTCGCCCGTGCTCCAGCTGTTCGTGCTGCCGTGCATACTACGGTGCGACATGGTGCTGTGTGCTTCCTAACGAGCGTTGGCACCGCTGCATGTGCCGCGCTGCAGCGGCCTTGGCGGTGCAGGCTGTCACCGGCTGCACGATGCATGTGGAGGGTTGGGGGGAGGGGGATGCTTCTCCATCTCTGTGGTTTGGTTGACGCTTCCGATGTCACCGTTCCTTAACTTTGATTCTCTTGCGGAATTGTTGCAGCGGTTGGAACCGTCGCGCGTTTGTGGTGTTGGTTGTGCGTTTGCTCTTTAATTCGGTGCGTGGTTACGGGGCCTGACGGATGGGGACGTGTCGCGGTTTTGTGTTTTTGTTGTTGTCGAGGGCACGGCAAGGGGTGGACAAATTTCGGGTTTATCAGCGGTTCCGCAGCTGCTTGATGGAGCCTTTCCAGAGGAAGAATTGGGCTGTGCCATTTCAAAGGGGGCGACAAGCGCCATCTCGTGGTGGTGACGAAGATTGCTGCATTTGCTCAGATTTCTCGCCGTTCGTGTTACGATCCCCGCACGTGACCTTTGTTTTTGCCATGCATTGGATATTTAACTTTATGCGGTCAAAGGTGACCGGATTTGAGGGCGAAGCGTGTCGAGGCTTCCGGCCACTCGAGGAAAGTTTGTAACGATTTGCCGTGGATTGGCCGCTAAATCTGCATCATGCCCTCGCCCCGTGGTCATGATTATTGTTGTGCGTGTTCACCCGGGACAAGTCCGAGTCTCAACTCTCTTCTGGGGGGCTTGATGCAAATTTTCCGCAACACGGAGCGATGTTGGTGCTGCTGCTGTGTGTGATGCCAATGCGGATATATGCAGGGATTCTGTCAGCATTGAGATGTTTGGCCAATATCGGTTACATTTTGTGATTTTGTTGCTAAAATCGAAGCACCTGGTGGAAATCCATGCAAAACAGAACATCCATACTCCACACGGAAAGGCGCCTGGGTCGGGAATCGAACGTCGACGTTTATGGCTGAGGCACGAGTGTCCCCAGCGCACCCCCCACTGCCCCTGTGTTCGTCTTCGTACGTCACTGACAAAACTGTATTGCGAGCGAAAAACAAAAATCGCGAAAATTCTTGCAAACCTAGCATTTAATCTGTCAATTATGAGACGTAACAGCAACAGTGCAACCCAAGACACGCACACCGTGTAAAAACACAGCACACAGCCCTGTGTATCATGGAAAAAAACATCGGCAGTTCCAGAATTATATTGTGGTCCCTCTTGTCTGTGGTCACCATAAACATGACTTGTGAGGCAGCAGCAGTGATGCAAAGATGGCTAACTGGAGTGGTTTCCTCAATTAGGACTCGTCAGTACAGTAACTGTTTTGACAACAGTACTACTCTGCTGATGAGTCCTAATTGATGAAATGGTCCACGGCTGTCTATCTCTTGTGTATCACATCTGCGCAGAATGTAATTGGTGATGACCTAAAAGGGCACCACAAAACAGTTTTTCATGGAACTGCTAATGGATGTTTACATAAATCACGTGGCCGCGTCATGTGTACACACACATGTGCACGTCTCGTTTGAAAATTCTCACAACAAACTCGCCGCGTTGACAATGCAGGGTGAGGGAGTCAACTCCAACATCAGCCGGTTTTATTGCTTAATGCTGCGGGTACCAGGAGCTCGGCCTCGCGGCGCGGGGGAGGCAGGGAGGAGGGGGAGCAGAGGGACGCTGTCATTGCACGCGCGAGAGCCATTAGAAAAATACCATTGCAGGGCCCCAAGGTCGCGCCCGGAGCGGGCTCCTGGTCTGGCCGAGCTGCTGCTGCTCCGGGGAGACGGCGTGGGGGGGTTGCCCCGTGACTCGCCCTGCGCATCGCCATTCATCCGCGTGGGGCTCCGCACTGCCCATCCAGCTCGATTAGTGGTGGGGTAAATTTAAGCTTGTCGTCCAGTCACTGTTGAGAGAACGAGTACCACTGCACTCCGAAAACCAAGGGCGTCCATCGTTGTACGGAGGCGTCGCAGCCATGTGAACGTGGAACGCCGACCAGGAGCTCGGGGTGGCGAGGGTCCGGTGGAGGAATGGAGGTGGCGCCTGAGCTGTAGGGAGCGTGCGGGGGCCACTCTGCGTGTTTCGTCCGATTTGTGGCAAAAACTCGGCGATGTCTCCATTACCACCAATGGAGCGGCTCGGCCCCCAGGGAGGGTGAGAATTCATGATGGCCACTTGGCCAGGGAGCAAACCTGGACGCTTCGGCCTCGCAACTTCACACGCGGGAGGAGGAGTGTTCACTAAACGCGCTCCGTGCTGCACGTACCAACCCAGCAACTTGCTCAAACAACCAACCAAATTAATAAATTAAAACATATGAACGTTAACAGATAAACACACATAGGTAAACAAATCAGCTCATTGGATTCCCAGTCGTTCCTAGGTTTGGACGATTCACTCTGGCCCAAGATAAACACGGACACGCAACAGTTAACCACCCAGCAAAGCACTCGCCCAAGTGTGGGGCAGGGCGCAGGGCATTGGAAGGGGATGGGGGCTTGGTTCTTTCTTTCCAAGGCAGCGGCGTCGGGTCCCCTGGTGGGCACTCAGTCAAGAGTTCATCACGGTCAATGCTGCCGAGGTCGCCACAACGCGGCGCTCGCCATCGCGTCCTTCTGCAAGAGTTTGGCGACTTGGGAGTCGTGGCACGAGGCACCACCACACCAGGCACCACCACCTGGCCTCCGTGTCTGCTCGTCTCGTGGCACCAAGGGGAGTCTTAGGCTGGGGGTCTGGAAATGTGCGTTAGTGCCCCCTGTCGACTGGGTCCTTGCATCACCACGCAGAGAAGGGGAGGGAGAGATCCGGCCACGTTGCTAAGTTTGCAGTCACAGTGGACATTGTCCACACACACGCGGCAACGGCGTGCAATTGCATCTTCAATAATAGTTAAAGTCATTATCACGAAGAGCAGCATCCTCAATCTCATTTCACGGCCATGGGCAAGTATTTTCTCTATCACAAGCATCAACATCCTCTACGATTCTATCACCTGTGAACAGCATTATCACACCCATCCACAATCTCCTTTCATTGCAACAATCATCAATAATTAATGTGATTTTATCAAACACCATCAGTAACCTCGATTTGATTCAATAATCCTCAGCATCATCGTGGTACATGACCACAACGGTATTATTACATAGTCGCCACCCTCAATCGCATCATAACCAGCATGATCAACAAATACGTATCAAGAGGAATGTCAATTTCCTTGAATCCCAACCACCACTCGAACATCATCATCATCATCACCGGCGCTCGTCATCTGGCCGAGTTGTGTGCATCCACTTGCTCCAGGGGGTGGGGGGAGCAGCAGTTGTGGCCGCTCTTGGGCCCCCCAGAGAGGGGCGAGGAGGTGACATCTCCCCCCCCTCCTCCTCCGCCCCCACCACCTCCGCCCCCCCCTCCCATGTTCACGTTGGTGGGTCCCAGCAGGTGCGCCCCTCCGGCGCCCCCCAGGCCCCCCCCACCTCCCCCGCACGCGCCCCCCTTGGTGAACTCCTCGCTGGACTCCCTCCACAGGACGTCGACGGCGGCCTTGTGGGCGTGCACGAGGCGCCGCGGCCTCGCCACCTGGCTGGACATGGCGCTGATGCGGCGGCTGGGCGACGAGGCGATCTTGATCTTCATGGCCGCGTCCACGTTGTCCACCACCGTGTAGGCACCCACGCTGCCGTCCTCGAAGCCGATGACGATGTTGAGGTGGCGCTTGGAGATGACGAAGCACGACGGCGCCTTGTAGAGCGTGCACGCGCCGATGCACTTGCCGTCGGCCAGGCGCACCACCTTGAGGCACGCGGTCACGGCCTGCGCGTTGGCCGGGTCCTCGACGAGCAGCGCGCACAGCTCGTCGCGCCGCCGCTTGTAGCACACGTAGACGACGTAGCGGCCGTCCGTCGACAGCTTCTGCTGCCACACGGCACCGCCTGCGTTCAGCACGCGCAGCTTGCCGTTGTGCAGGTCCAGCACGTTGACGCTCTCGTCGCCCGTCGACAGCACGGCCAGCTTGCCGCTGGGCGAGATCTGGAAGTCCTCGAGGCGCTTGTGGAACTGCGCGGGCAGCTGCACGCGTCGGCGCACGGCCTCGTCCGCCAGGCTCCAGGTGAAGATGGTGCCCGCCGTGGTGACGATGGCCACGTAGTCCGGGCAGTCGGGCAGCAGGCGGTAGGCGAGGATGCGCGTGCCGTCCTCGCACGCGAACTTCTTGGAGACGCTGCCCGTCCACAGGTTGACGGCGAGCAGCGAGTTTTGGTTGAGGCCCACGAGGAAGGTGTTGGCCGCCGTGATGGCCGCGTTCTCCAGGCCAACGAGGATGTTGCACACCTTGTTGCCCGTGGCCAGGCGCCACACGCGTGACGCCTTCTTCTCGCACAGCGACACCACGAAGAGGTCGTTGTGCGTGACCAGCAGCTGCGACGCGCGCTGGCCCGTGATACGGAAGAGGCACTCGCCGCTGCCCGTGATCCACACGAACTGGTTCCCCGTCGCGTCCGCAGACACCATCACCTCGGCAGACGAGGTGAGCACGCACTGCTCCACGACGCCCTCGTGCTTGTACAGCGACTCGATGAAGCCCGAGTGGATGTTCCACCTGTAGATGGTGTCCGTGCCGTCCGTCGTGAACACGCACTCACCGCGCGATGGCAGCAGCACACAGCGGATGGCCTTGCCCGTCTTGTCGACGGCCGAGATGGCGTCGATTGCCTCCATGTCCCACACGGAGAGCACGCCCTTGGAGGTGACGGCCAGCAGCGTGTCGTTCACCGCCGACTTGATGAGCTTCGTCACAATGCCCGAGTTGCCGGGAAGCGTGGCCAGGCACTGGCCCGTGTCGCGCCTCCAGATGAAGATGGACGCCATCATCTCGATGGCCGCCACGATGGACTCGCAGTTGCGCGACAGGACAGCGCACAGGAACTTCTCATTGCGCCGAGCTTTGAACTTGTCGGTCATGGCCCAGGAGAATGTGTCCCACACCTCCATGCTGAAGCGCTTGCAGATGAGCAGAGCGTTCTGCTGCTTGGAGAGCTCCACGCTCGCCACGTCGCCCGCTTCCCCGCCGCGACAGTCGAACTCCTCCACCAGCTGCGGGTTGGTGATCTCCTCCAGGTCCCACACGGCGAGGCTGCCGCCGTTGTCCACCGCGTACAGCTCCTGCGCCTGCGCCGCCAGCAGGATGGCGTGCACGTAGCCCGCCGAGCACTCGGACGTGACGGTGGCGAGGCGCTCGCCGCTCTCCAGGCGGAAGATGGAGGTGGTGTTGAGCTGCTGGCCGCAGAAGGCGTACATGCCGTCCTCCGAGCACTGCGCGCACGTCACCTCGTACCAGCAGTGGCACACGCACAGCGGCCAGCCGTAGTTGAGGTCAATCACGTGCACTTCCGTGCTCCTCTCGAGCCAGGCGAGCGCGTGGTTCGTCGACAGCCGGAAGCCGCCCATCGCCTGCTGCACCGGCTCAGGCGGCGGTGCAGCAGGCTGCTGCTGGTGGTGCTGATGGTGGTGCTGCTGGTGGTGGTGCTGGTGGTGGTTCTGCGCGGCGAGCTTGGGCGCCTTCACCTCCACCTCGTAGAGGAGCGTTGACGAGCAGTGGTCGAACACGAGCAGCGTGTTGTTGAGCGTGGACGCGACGAGGTACTTCTCGTCGCCGTTGAGCTGCGCACTCAGCAGCGGCACGCCGTGTGTCGTGATGTGCTTGACGGGCTGCCCGCGCGCCAGGTCCCACGTGCTCACCGTGCCGTTGTCCAGCGCCGCTACGATCACGCCGGGCTTGGACGTGGGCAGCACGTCGGTGATGCGCACCGCGTTGGTCGTGAGCGGCACGCGCTTGGGCTCGCCCAGGCGGTCCATGGGCGAGAGGAGCGTGACGATGGAGCAGTAGCGCAGGCCCTCGCGGTCGCACACCTGCAGGATTTGGCGGATCTTGGGGTAGACGCGCACAAAGGGCAGCATGCGCTGCTGCAGCTCGGTGGAGAGGGAGTTGGGGTCCTCCATGAGCGCCGGGGAGACGCCGCGCAGCGTGTCCGCCAGAAAGCGCACGTCCTTGTCCTGCGTGAGCGCGTGCGCCGCCTCCATCTCGAGCACGAGCGCGTGCAGGCGGCCCGACTGCACCATGGCGTGCATGTAGCCAAAGTCGAGGATCACGTTGAAGAGGAGGTCGTCCACGCGACCGCTCTTGGTCAGGTGGTATGGCAGCTCCTTGAGCTTCCGGAGGTTCACGAACAGCTGGCTGATCTCCAGCAGGCGACACTGGAAGTTCCAGGGCTGCGACACGGCCTGGCGGTCGTAGAACTCGCCGGCGCCGTGGTGGTGGTTCTTCTTGTCGTGGTTCGGGTGACGTCCCCCCACGGCCACCGCCGAGGACGACGAGGAAGACGCCGCGGCGCCCCCCGCGGCGTTGCCCCTGCGCGGAGCGAGCGTCTCGTGCGGGCCCTGCAGGGGTTTGGGCCTCCCGGCCGACCACTGGCCGGAAAAGTAGTCGGCCAGCACGCCGTGCATCTCCGTCACAGCGTCCGCGTCGCTCAGGTACAGCTTGTTGGCCACGAACACCAGGTGGCGGTTGGCCCAGACGAGCAGGTGGGTAGCATGCACGTCGCGCTCCACCAGGTAGCCCTGCAGCTCCAAGCGCAGCGTGGCCACCTTGAAGTAGGGCACGCGCGCGAACGTGGCGGCCGCCGCCACGGCGCCATCGCCGCAGGCCGCGGAGGCGGCTGCGTTCCGGTGCGCTGCGGCGAGCGTCTCCTGCACGACGTAGTCGTCGAGCGAGAGGACGTCCTCCAGCTCGGCCTCGCACAGCCCGTGCTTGGCCAGGGTGATGTATCCGAGGGCGCGTGACACGAAGCGGGGGCCGCACTTGAGCTCCAGGTTGGCGAAGAGGTTCTCGATGCTCTCGTGCACGGTTCGGCACAGCGTGGAGTCGTCCACGTCCTTGTGCGAGCGCCAGCGTGACACCTCGACCAGCAGCAGGTTCAGGTACATGGGCAGCGTGCAGCGCAGCAGTGCCTCGTTGATGTAGATCTGCTGGCCCGAGGTCACCTTGCGCTTGGCCTGCAACAGCCGCGCCTTCAGCATCTGGTTGCAGGTCTTCTTGTCGCGTGCCACCATCTCCACGTAGTTGTGCTCGTCCGGGATCTTCTTTTTCAGCGACTGCAGGACCCCAAACTTGTTGGGCAGCGTGGACACGATGACCCGCACTGACGAGGGCAACGTCGGGGGCAGCCACCACGCGGAGCGCGCGTCGTCGTCCTCCGCCAGCTGATCCAGCGCGTCCAGGATGATGACGAGCGGCTGGTCGTTGCTCGACGCCGTGAGCAGCGAGAGCCACAGCGCCTGCAGCTCGCGCACCCCCTCTGGGAAGGGCCCCAGCGGCTTGCCGTAGACCCAGGCCACCTGCTGGCACAGGCTGCGCAGGAGGCCGCGGAGGGTGCTGCTGTCGTCTGTGGAGCCCAGGAAGCGCACGAGCACCGTGGGGAAATACTCGGGACCCTTCCGCTCCTTGAGCCATTGGTAGGCCTGGGGGGGGGGGGGGGGGCGGAGGAGAGAAGGGGCGAATGGTTAGAGGCACGGTCTGAAATGTGCATAAAGTTGCACTCATTACACGCAAAGTGCTTGCCACAATTTAACCACAATTACTTCGTCAAGGAGCATAAACCATCACGTGAACTCCGGTCATCCTCGCAGCAGTGACTTTTGGCTGGCCATCAAAAAAAGATGGTCACCGCATTCCGCGCTTTCAGATGCGCTTCTGTGGCTGTCTGGCATGCTAGGAAACCACTGGGGCTACGCACTTTTCCATCTAGATTGATAATTAATTTCTTTAGAACTTAGTTTGTCTGTCTACCACACCTCCGATTAGTATGGTTGGCTAGGTACGGTGCGAAATAAGTTCTACATACATACGTGAAACTTCACGTGCCATGAAGAAGGGCCATTGCTCGAAACGTTGCCCGTTACAGATTTTCCCTTTTAAGGGGAGCTGTGCAGCAACAAAGCAAACAGAAATTTGAACAAGAACCACAAACACAACACCCCACGGCAAGTTGACCGTGCGCAAGGTCTGAGCACGGATGATGCGCGTAATCAGGGGGGGTTGGGGAGGGGCGAACTCGCTGCACGACGCACGCTCCCCGCCCGCTCTCACCCGCGCGGCCGCCTCGGCCATGAGCAGCGTCTTGCCACTGCAGGGCCCGCCGAAGACAACGAGCGGGAAGACGCGGGAGCGCCGGCCGGCTACGTACTGCCCGAGCACGGCGAGTGCGTCGCACGCGTAGGCGTACAGCGCGCGGTACGTCGTGCACAGCGACACGTGCTGCAGCACCTCCTCGTAGGCGCGCTCCGTCTCTGCGTCGCACGCGCGCGGCACCGTCGTCTCCATGATGTCGATCATGTCCTCGTAGAACTGGCGGCAGAGGCCCTCCACGTACTGGCGCTCGAACTGCTCCGTGTAGCCCAGCCGCGCGTCGCACAGCGTCACGGAGGAGTAGACGCGCAGCTTCGAGTCGCTCACGCACGCCGGCACGAAGGAGTCGCGCAGCCGCTGCAGCTTCTGCAGGGCCCTGGGGTCGCGCGCCACCTTGGCCATGCCAGCCGCGTCGGGCGACGAGAGGTCGAGGTAGCGGGCCATGCGCGGCACGCAGGCGAAGCGCTCCGCGTCCTGGATGCTGCGGATGTAGCAGACGCAGCGGCGCACCTGGCTCAGCGGCTGCTTGTCCAGCGCGCACATGAACTCCTCCTCCACGCCTGCGCGGAATAGGGGAGGTGGGGGGGCGTCGCAATTGTGTCACCGGCGCCGCAGCTCATTCATTTCGCTGTACACGCGTGTTTTGGAGGCTGCGTAACTGGGCGTGGTGGTGATGGCGCGATGACATCATTTGCGACCAGAGGCACCTCACGTGAACCCTCTGTTCAGGGGGCGGCTCCCAGTCCCCTGCATTCATCCCCGGGGCTCACACTGCCGCTCTCCACCCCCACCGCTTCACACCCACGGCACCCCTCCGGCTCACGGCTCGTTAGAGGCGTGAAGCCGCTCAAGGCTCCCTCGCGTCAACTGCGTCCTCCATCCACTTCGAGGGCGGCCGTGTTCTTAGCCACGGCTCGCCTCTGGCTGGCTGAAGATAAAAGCACGGCTCTGAGACGGCTTTTCTGAGCCAGAGACGACAACGACAATGATGGCAATGAGGATGATGATGAGGATGCTGATGAGGATGATGATGAGGATGATGATGTACCTGAAGTGAAGTACTTTTGTGCCTGGCCACTGGTGATGAGGCCGCGTGACTGGCACAGCGTCACCGCCGCCTTGAGCACGGCGCGCATCTCGGCCGCGAGCGACATCCAGGCCTCCCGCTCCTCGGCGCGGCTCTGCCCGTCCCCCTGCTGCCGCCACGCGCACCGCCGAGGTCAGTGAACAGTCGTGCATCTTGGGGTTGCTCATAACGTCTGTTCCGACGTTTCGCTCCACATTCCTGTGGCTTCAGGAAAAAAATGTAACTCTTTGTATTTTACCAGTTAAGGCCCACTGAGCTATATAGCTCGTTTTCAGAAGCGACTGGCCACAAATGATAGCTCAGCGAAGTGGCTTATCATGTGGAAATTGAGAGCAAAACACTCTAAACGCATGTTTCTAAACGTGGAGGCAAAAACCAGAAGACCTGGAGAAAAATCCACACGACCACCATAAGAACATGCAAATATACAGGTGTTAGGGTGGGGATCGAACGCACGACCTCCTATATACCAGGCACGGTAGTTAACGTCTCACCACCGAGGCACCACGGTGCCAAGATGACGGAGTGAAAACGTCAGAGATTGTTCCAAATGTATACACGGCACAAACAACCCGTATTCAACATCGGAGTCTTGATGATGGTAACTGGTATGGGGTGGGAGGGGCTCCTCACCGCGTCCCCCCGGGCCCCCCGGGGCAGGAGGTAGTACGCGGGCGGCACTGCGTTCTCGTCTCGCCGGTACCATTCCTCCAGGGCGCGAGTGCTCAGGCCGGCGCCGAGGGCGCTCTCCAGGATCCGCTCGAACTCCGCCGCCTCGATCTGTCCTGGGAGGCACGCGTCCCCATAGCGCTCCCCAAGCAGCCCCTGCAGGGTCGTGGTAGGTGGGGGGGGGCATCTCAGGTTAGCACGGTTGGCTCCACACGGTGGGACTCAAGTTCATCATGGTGCATGTGTAGTGACATAGAATCGGTCACGTAGCAGCATAGCGCTGGCTGCTGGCAGGGAAGGGGATCTGCAGCTTGCAGCAGCCCTGACTGACAGCAGGCCACGTGATAGACCAGAGAGGGATGTAGGGGAAAGGTCACGGAAGGGGCACATCGAGAACCCGCTAATAGGTTCCAGAAGGAGGCGTGGCTGGGGGCGGAGCCAGACCACGCCGACAGTATAAGTGGCCCCGGGAGGGGAGCTCGGGGCTGTCGTGTGGAGTCTTCACCATCTCGGCCTCGCCAGTCAGGCGGTCTACCAGCTGTCCTGACTGGGAACTGTAGTTACGAAGTGTTACTGTCAGGCCGTGTTAATCAACAGAGTGCCTCCTACTCTTAGTGTCTCTGAGTCAGTCACTCCGCATGCATAGCGGCATAGCGGCATGGTCCAATCATGACCAAGCTCACGCGCTGTGAAGGAGGAGGGCCATCGGGCGATCATCCCATATCACAGACGCCCCCTTCCCCGGAGAGATGGACAGCACAACCTGGGCGGTGCGATGACCCTTGCAGCAGAGGGGGTGGGGGGGAGGATACGAAGCTGGGGGGGGGGGGCAGTTTCACTCTTGCCAAGGGGCCCCCCTCCATCCTTTCAGCCCCCCCTCCCCCCCGAATTCTACAAAGAGCACTCCTGGGCGGGTGGGGTTTTGCGGAGTGAGTTGTCCCGAGTTGAAGAGTCGAAAGTTGCAGCAGCAGCAACAACAGCAGCAGTAGCAGTAGTAGTAACAACAGCAGCAACAACAGCAACAGCAGTAGTAGCAACAACAGCAGCAGCAACAACAGCAGCAACAACAGCATCAGCAGCAGTAGTAACAACAACAGCATCAGCCGCATCAGCAAAAACAGCAGCAGCTGAAGCATCATCATCAGCAATATTAAAAAGCTGCATCAGCAACACTCAACAGCATCAGAAACAAGAGCTTCAACAGCAGACCGCATCTGTGGCATTCACAGTGGCATCAGCAACAGAGGCATCAGCTGCAGCAGTAGCATCAGCACCAACAGAAGCAGCAACAGAAGCAGCAACATCAGCAGCAGTGACGCGGGGAGTGGGAATGCGCCAGGAGCACACAGTGGGGGTTACTGGGGCCGTGTGTGCATCGGGTCTGCTGCCAGGGCTGGCGTGTTACCAGCAGGGCTAGTATTAGTATCAGGCCTATAGCATTAGTATCAGGGCTGGTGTTACCAGGGCTAGTGCTATCAGCGGTGCAAGCGGTATCATTAGGGCTATTTCCAGGGCTCGTGCTAGCAGCTTTGCTATCAGCAGGGCTAACTCCAGGGCGGTGATATCAGCATCACTAGTGGCAGGGCTGGTGCCCCAGTGGGCGTGTAGCGGTTGGGGGGTGACTCACCACGAAGCAGGGCCCCACCGAGGTGCGCATGCACTCGAGCAGCAGGCGCGTGCGCAGCTCCCGCACCTCGTGCTCGTGCCACTCGCCCGGCTCCATCCCCCAGAACACGTCCACCGCCTGGGGGGGCGGCGGGGGGGGGGTAGAGGTTGGGGTCACGTGCGCTTGTCATACAACCCTTTATCGCACATCGGATTTAATCCAGTTTCAATAATTATTCTGATTGGTGGATCACACAGGGATTGGTCCCTGCTGTTGTTGAACAGGAATGCCCCTTCAATGTTCAAAAAGTACAATGACTAAACAGTGACTACTAAAAAAACCAATTTATGTAAGATAACTATTCAAATGACAATTTCAAAACTGGGCATCAGAAAACGTTTAAAATATACTTCTCATCAGGTCCCATTGTGTAAACAAGTGCAGTCATCGACTCGTATCATCCACGATCTCTACTTGCCTCGCGACGTGCTATGAAGAAGGTCCATTGCCCAAAACGTTGCCTATTACATATGTTTCCTTTTTAGGCCTCACACACAGCCTTCTTGACAAACGTTTACATCTGTTGATTGTGCACCACTGCCAACGCATCCACAGCAGCAGCAACATCACCGGATAATCTGCGAAACATTTCGTGGGACTGCCTGCACAGTCTCGACACAGAATGCCTGGACATTCCGGTAGTAGCCGCTGTCTGGCGGTTCAAGACGTCTGCCTGGATGATCCGTCCCAGAGAGTCAATCGCTTTAGCGGGGTGCGGTTGCAGGCTACGCGTGCTGTGGTGCAGCGTGTGTGTTGTGTGTGCAATGCCAATGCCCTGGCCTCGCCTGTTCCTCCCGTGTTAACCCCATCACCTCTATACAGCGCCATCACCTCTGTAGCCCCACCACCTGTGTCACACCATCTCACAGCACTGCGACTTGCAGGGGGGAGTCTCGGTAGGACATGCGATTGAGGAGTCTCTGTGTCGATGTCATTGCCTCGAACCGAACCGGTGCTGCTCGGTTATTCGGCGCATGGTGGGTGTAGAACCAACCCATGGGGTGTGATGGTGTGGTGTGATGTCTGGAGTGATGGGTGTGGTGTCAGATGGTGCAGCGGTGGTTTTGATTGAGAGTAAAGAGATGGTCTGGTGGCGCTGATGTGGTATTTGTATGGTGGCGGGGTGGTGTGCGTGGTATGCGTGATGTGGGAGTAATGTATGCGGAGTGTGTGGCATAGCGGTGCGTGTTGAGTCTCCGTACTATGTACAGCAGGATGTATGTATGTTCGCAGCGTGTGTGTGTGTTGCGGTGTGGGCTGGATGTGTGGAGTCTGAGGGGCGTTGGTGTATTGTCAATGTGGAGTGTGGCGTTTGTGGTTTGTGTGATGGTGTAGATGTAGCGGCGTCGTTGGTATGGACTCTACATGTGGTGTGTAGTGTGGTGCGGGGTATGGTGTTTGGTGTGGGTGTAGCGTGGTGTGGTGTTTGGTGTGGCACATGCGTGTGTGTGATGTCACCTCCTGGGATAGCGCACTGCGCTTTGAGCCCGGCCACCAGAGATCGATTCCCACTCACGATCAACAGCAGAGGCGGGTCTGTGACCGGGTTCTGAGCCCTTCCGAGGTCGACACGGTCTCCACCGAGTACCTGGCGCGGTGTGCAAAGCGTCGCCACTGTGGAGACAAAGGCGGCCGGGCGTGGTGCGCCGTGCCGGCTCGCTCAAAGCACTGTCGCCCAGCGTCTGTTCGAGGCGCACACGGGGGGCGGATTCGTCTGTCGTCGCCTCACCTGGAAGTCGAGGCCGTAGTTGTCTCGGCAGAACTCGCGCAGCTTGGGGAAGACGTGCTCCCGCAGCGCCTGCCTCTCCGCCTCCGTGTCTGCAAAGAACGCCTCGATGAGACCCCATCCACCATCTCCCCCCCCGGGATCCTGACCCCCCCCCCCCAGGGTCCTGACCACCCCCGCCAGGTACCCTGGTCCCCTCCCCTCCCCTCCCCTCTCCTCCATCTGCGCCCGCGTCACCCTCAATGCTGGAGGCTGCCGACTTCTCTGCAGTGCCGCGTGGGAACGGCAGGCGGCACGGCGATTGTATATGAATCCATCTGTGCGGAACTTGTGAGTGCTTACCCCCATTCGTATGCGTGGTGGGTTTCCTCTGAGTTATCGGGTTGTCGCCCACGGGGTAGCCACACTCTCATCATGGACCAACCATCCCAGCGTTGGTCGCGCCCTCCTGCGGAACGAGTCCTGAGACTCGCTAAAGCTTCGCGTGGAGGAATGAAGGGGGGGGGGCGGTGAGCGGACCGTGCTACGAATCCGGCGATTGCCACAGCCACGGCTAACATCAGTGGCTAGTGAGTGAGAGCTGAACCCCTCCTCGGGTAGCCACAGGGTGTTATAATTGTCCGGTGTTCGTGTCTCGCCGCTCTCCCCCACCTACCGCACGTGGTTCGCGCCACCCTGTGTACGCTGCACATGGCCGTGTGCGACTCGGAGTGTACCATCGCGTGGAGGGGGTGAGTGGTGGTTCTATAACCGGTTACGGTAACCGGTATCACGGGGATGGTCGTACGATTAATCCCACTTGCAATTCATGTAACTGTCGCGATTCCAGAACATTGTGTTGAATTAATGTAACGGCCTCTCGCGGCTGGAGAGGTCACGTGAGCCAACGACGTACAAAAGGTAGGCAAACAGAAAGACATCGATCCTTAATCCAAGCGCGATTCGCTGCACGTGCCGTGAACTTAAGCATCAATATGAATCGATCGCATAGCTCCATCGCTAATTGGCGAGCAGAGGAGTGAGCTGGTCACGAGACGCAACGAGTGAAGGACGCGACACAGACGCAAAGATTACACATTTAACCTCGTGAAATGTGCGGCGCAAGTGCGCTTAGCGAGCACTGGTGAAGCCGGCACGGCGCACGTGGAGGTGGCATGGACGGGTACGACCACCGCGGAGATGGAGCGATGGGATCGGGGTCGAGTGCAAGGAGTGAGACGGATCGGAGCCAGCCCCGTGGCTCTCGAGGGATGCTGACGACGTGGCGTGTGGAAGCCTTCATCCAGCAGTGCGTAGACCACGACTACTCGTGCTGATTAAGATATCCGAGTGCTATGTTTTTTTGAAGGCTGAGTCGATCTACAGGGAATCCCAGATAATGTCGAGGTTCTACCTGCCACCGATTGTTATCCGTGGTGGTGGTGTACTAAACACAAGTAATGTAGCAGCGTTCGTAGCGCAGTGCCCGAATCACAGCGCCACCGCTCTCCCCGCACGCGGCAAATAGGTGTGGTCAGCACCACGCCCGGCACTCATTTAAGGCTGAGTTGACCTACGCGAGCCCCACACATCCCGATACCACTTGCCATTAATCTAATACAAGGCGATGGTAACTGATTCTAATTCTAGTTGTGCTCTAGAAGGGGAAAGAGACTGTAATTTGGCACTATCAAAAAGTGTGCTTATTTTAGTTGTATAGATAGCGGGGTATTTCATGCAAGTGTCGTCTCTCGCAATCGCTCACAGACGCGAGCTGGAAGGCAGCAGCAAGCGAGTGTTTACCCAATCTCTGCCGTTCGCTACATGTAAGGATGTGTCCAGCCAAAGGATGAGAGTTATACACGTGGGAGGAAAGCGGAGCACCCGGAGAATACCCACACGCGCGAGGCGTCGACACTATCGTCTATCTCATGCAGGTGGAACTGATGGTGTCCACATCTCTTGCTCTGCCGCCTTCCCCTGGCGAGCCAGGATCTACGGCTCCTTCTCGCGGCCCACGGGAAGGGAGGATCGCAACACCTCCGTGTGATCCGACAACCAAAACACTTTGGGATTTCCGCTCATCGCTGAAGCAATCCGACTGCCGAAATGTTCGATTTTGATAGACCAGAAATCACGGCCCAGAGGTTTAAATGTCACTGAAAGGGCATGGTCTGCCTAAAGTTCTGCGTTGCTTACAATGCCGTGCTAAACACCAACAGTACCGTGCTAAACACCGTGCTAAACACCAACAATACCGTGCTAAACACCGTGCTAAACACCAAAAAGTCATTAGCCCCTACGTAGACATGTGAAGACATAGCCAACAGATAGCGATAATTGAGTATATCTCTACCATGTATATACTATACAGCACATACACGAATATCCCTTGTATAAATTTCGATTTAAAGCTTTCGTGACTGCAGGGATTCATCGTCTTGGTTCTTTCGGTAAAGTCACGTAGAAGGGAAATAATAAAATAATAAAAATAAAACATAATAAAATAATTAAAATATTTATTTTATTATGTTTTATTTTTATTATTTTATTTTTATTATTTTATTATTTCCCTTCTACGTGACTTACCGAGAGAACCAAGAAGATAAATCCTTTGTATAGCCTACAGAGGCTGTTGGGGCACGTGTTGTTCGCGAGCACCTATTAATGCCAGCACCACGCCCACTCACCACCGTGCCCGAGTGGCGACGTTCGCACGCAGCTTCACTCGTGCTCGAACTCATCAGCCCTTTACGGTCGAGTCGGCCTCGAAGAAGCCAGGACTCGGGTTGCCGGGTATCGAGCGCTCTGTGCTGCGCCACCACTCGTAGATGGCACGAGGCTATTGTGACAATCACCCGGAACGCCCCCCACCTCGGAATCTAAGCAAACTCGAGCCTGGATAGTGCTTGGATGGGAGACCACCATGCACAGCAGGCGTTATATGTGGCGGGGCTACGTTGTATGGTAGTGATTCTATGCCCCCCCCCCCCCTCGTCGATGTTAAATTTCCTCACCAACCCGCAAATAACCTCCACGACGACCCGCACGGCGTGGGGAGGCCCTCATCCAGCAGTGGATCAACACGTGACACACGTGACACACACGGATCGGCGTGACGTGGCGTGCGTCTCACGTGGGGCGCGCCATGCCGCCTCTTCCCGCATTATTCCGAGGTGTCTCGGCACCCTCACCAGGGGGGGTCTCCGTGTCTCACCAGATTTGCTAATTGAGCTTAAAGACCCCACAGACGGGTAGAGGTGTAAGGGAGTCTCCCTCTCTCTGTAAGGGGGAATCGGCGGGGCTAGCGATCAGGGGTCGTCGTTCCTGCCCAGTGTCTTTAACGCGTAGCGAAGGCCGCGGTTTTACGCATTTTTTTCCTGCGCGATCCATTCCGGGATTTGCGTACTGCAGGCGGTGTTTAAACGGCTGCTGCCGATGTCAGCTCGCGTTCGCAGCGAAACCCGGCGCGGAATCCTCCCCGCCCCCTCCCGGGTGGAGCTCGGAGCGCGCGGTCGCGTGCGCTCGGCGTGGTGAGTTTCTAGCGCCGCGACAGCGCGCCCCTGTCGCGACGGAACGCGTTACATCACTTCGACATTCATCAGATCAATCGTCGTCGTGTCTTATCCACTGCTGGATCGGGGCGCTTTCGCACAGCTGTCGCATACCACGCACGATTCTGCAGCGAGATCACGAACGCATCGTCCCCGCGCGTGAACCGTTCCGTGTGGTGGGTTCACGCGCGGGGAGATCTCTCAATCGCGCGCGCGCGCTCAGAGCACTCGACCAATGTCGTGGGGCGCGCGCAGAGACATCGCGGGGACTGGGATGATGATGATGACAATGAGCAGCGCGCCTTCATCCATTATCCCGTGGTCCCGCGCTGGCCCAGGTGAGGGAGTGGAGTGAGGTGGGTGGGTGAGGGGCAAGGTGAGCGTAAGGTCGAGCCCCGGGGGAAGGGGGGGGATAGGAGGGGAGGGGGGCGTCACCTTCAGGATTGGCGCTGATGAAGACGCGCACGCATCGCGCCGCCGACGCGGGAGGGATGGCGGCGAGGTGGCCCCTGAGCACGGCGTGTCGAGACGCCGGGTCGCGCAGTCCCGACATGACTCCGCCTGCACGCGGGGCCCTGCCCGGGCCCTGCCCTTCGTCCCTGCCCGGGCCCTGCCCTTCGTCGCGCGCCCCCTCCCCGCTCGCCTCTGCCCCGACGTTCAGAATCCTTCAGCGCGCGCCGCCGCCGCCGCCGCAGCGGTTCCCATTGACCGATGACCCCACGCAGCTTCCTCCTCGTGTCTTGATAACGACACAAATACAATGATCACGATATACCAGCAGCAGCAGCAGCAACGGCGGCGGTGGCGGTGCTAATGTCACCAACTCGGCGCTTCGTCCGCCATGCTCCTAGACTCCCCGGTGGCCGGCGCGGCTGGGAGACGCGGAGCGCCGCATTGCGTCCCCCTGGCAGAGGCGGCGGAGCGCGCGGGAGGAGCCCACGGACCTCGCGCCCGCCAGCCCGGACGGAGTCGCCACTCGACTCCCTCGCTCCCCGTGCTCGCTCGCGGGAGCCGAGAGAGCGCTGCGCGGTTCACGCGGTTGCGTCAGGGTCCACGCTGGATGGCGAGGCGAGGCGGAGAGGTCTCGCGTCCCTTCTTCTCTAGCGGTGTCTTCAGCTCGCCATCACCCCCCCTCCCCCGCCTGTCGCCCTCCCCTCTCCCCCCTCGCGCTCTCTTTAATTTCGCTAAAAGCCCACGGAGCGCGTGCTGTCAGCGAGCAGCGCCACCCCCCCCCCTCCTCGGCGAGTCTCGATCCAGCGGAGACCACACTTTTACCACGGACACACACACACACAAAGACACTCGCACACGCACGCACAACACACACTCACGCACGCACACTCGCACGTACGCACGCACGCGCAACCGCTGCAAGCACCCCGCGACTCCCGTCTCCGAAGATTCGTCCCACAAAGATGTACCGCAAATATTGTTCGAATTACTGTTATGATGACGGCGAAGTCAATGAAGGACGGTGACGGTAGCGAGGATGTCGGAGCTGAGATTCCCTCCGCGGGAGAGTCGCGGGCACCGTGTGAACGAGAGGAGAGCTCGCGCCGCGCCTCCTCCTCCACTCGTCTCTCGTCTCGCCCCGGCCCGGTCCCGTTTGGTTCCCGCGCGCCGCCCGCCGCTAGGGGGCGGCACGCGTGGGCGTCCCGCTCAGGGCGGCCCTTCGCCGCGGGGGCTGGCCCCGCCCTTAGCGCGTGCAAAGACAAACATCCCCCGGGTAGCCTTGAGCAGACTTTTGGGGCAAGTGCTGTTAGCGCGCACCTATGAAGGAAGGCACACGGCGCACGAGGGAGTGGGTGGTCAGCGCCACGCCCGCCTGCTTTTGTCTCCCCGGTGGCGATGTTCACACATCGCACCGGGTACTCAACCGAGGCTGAACCAACCTAGGGGAGGCCCATGACCGGTTCAGATAATTATCGTCACCGGCCGGTGTTGACTATGAGCGGGACTCGAACTCGTGTCGCCGGGTTCGTAGCCCGGCTATTACCGCACGCACGCACACGCGTACACACACGTGTACACACACGTGTACACACACGCGCACGCACACACGCGCACGCGCGAATGCATAAGTGCACGCGCATGGGACAAACCTAGACACACGACAATGAGGCACGGAGACACGTTTGAATAGACACGCACGACAGTAACCCCACGGGTGAGCAGGCGCATATATACCGACACGCACACAATGCACGTACAGACGCAATCACGCGTTCATATACGCGTGCGCACACACACGGGAACACACGTACGCCGTCAACATGCACACATGTACGCACGTGTGTGCACGCACACAGATACACGTGGCCATCTGTTTTATATACACATGCATATTATTTTCACGCACGTACACAGAGACACGAATACACCCACGCGTAGTGTATACACACACACATGCAGTCCTACAGACCGAATCACGCGCACGCACGGGCACACGTCCAGTTGCAAGCGCGCGCACACACACGTGCATGCGCAAACGTACACATTTACACTTACGTTCACATATACACGGACACGCATGCCTACGCACACAAGCAAACGTACCGTACCGATACACAAGCACACAAAGTACATATTCTGACAGGATTACGCATCGATAATATCGGGGTTTTTTGGTCAGATCGCGTAAATATAAAACAATTCTACGTGTTAAACAGAATTACGCATACGCGCGTACGGCCACACGAGATACGCGTGTCGGATCGCCGGGTCCAGAGCGCAGCGCGCTAACCGCGACACGACCGCTCCCCACTTGTGTACACATCTCTCCAGCATCGCCTTCACGGACTGCTGCGGCAAGTGCTGTTCGCGAGCACTTATCAAGGCCGGAACGGTATACGAGGGGGTGGGGTGGCCAGCACCAGTCCCGTATCACTCGCACCGGTGTCAGCCAGCGGGTTCATAGCGCAGCGAGACAACCGTTACACGACCGCTCCCCAAACTCGGAGCAAAAAAACAAAGATCCCCCGTACAGCCTTAACAGACTGTTGGGGCAAGTGCTGTTAGCGAGCAAACTCGGAGCACACACACACACGTACACAGACGTACACAGACGTACACCCACGAGCGCTCGCAAGAATCTCGCTCCACCACAACCGTGAACCCCTCCTCTCAAGGCGGAGGGGAAGGGTGGGGGGGTCTTGTCGTGGGGCCCCGACCCCCGCGGGGCCGCGTTCACCTCGCAATCCCGCTCATGAATAGCGGGGCATTAGAGCCGGGATTTCAGACCGAGAAGATCGATGGGCGGCGCGCGCTGCAGCAATCGGAGGGAGAGGGGGAGGGGGACATCCCGCGGGCGGGGGTCTGTGTGGGGGAGGGGCGTTTGGAGGGTGCGGGGGGAGGTGCGGGGGGAGTTGGGATGGAGGGGGTGGGGAGACGAGATGGGAAGAGATGAGATGTGATGGGGAGTGGGGAGATGAGATCCGGGGTGGGCGGTGATGGAACTGGGGGGCGGGGTGGTGGGGAGATGGGATGGAGGGTGGGGAGGTGGGGGATGGGATGGGGGGTGGGGAGATGGGATGGGGGGTGGGGAGATGGGGGGTGGGGAGATGGGATTGCGGGGGGGGGGGGTCTCATGCCGCCGCGGCTGCGCGCGCTGATAACGGCCGCGCCGTGCGAATCAAAAAGGAAAATTTTGAGCGTTCGGGACATTGCCCCCACCCCTCCACTCCCCACCCCCAATCCGCAACCCCCCTCCCTGCAATCCACCAATCCCCTCGCCCCCCCCCCTACGGGGTAGAACTGCACGTCCGCCCCCCCCCCCTTCTCTCATGAGCAGCTCTTATCTCGTAGCTACACGCCTGGGCTATGCGTCCCGGGCTATGTGTCCCGGGCTGCTCGACTTGAAGTGCCACCGAAATTCCAACTAACACATTAATTGACGTTCCGGCGCCTCTTGCGGACTCCAGTGACGTCAACCGTAACGCTCCACCCATGCCCTATGACGTCGGTGCGGTGACGTCATTAACGACGCTTCGCTCAAAGAATTCACGGCCGGTGGCCGAGACGGACGACAGAGCGGCAGCCAAAGGAGGGAAACGCGCCCCTGGGGGACCCCCCCCCCCGCCCGCCGCGGAGATGGAGCAATGAACTGAGCGTCGTGTGCAGGTGCCTCGAGATGCGGATTCCTGCAAGACGGCGAGGAATGGCGACGGGGGAGGGGCGGCTTTTGAGAGCCTTCAGCAGAGGATAGATGGGGTGGCTTGTGATGAGCGTAGCTTGTAACTCAGCCCGCGCGTGTGCAGCTGCAAGCCGAGAGCTGCATGAGTTGTGACTGGGAGCCACATTGCTGGTGGGGGGGGGGGGGGGAGTCCGGTGCGATCTGACAGCTCGCCAGCATTGATTCAAGAAGCAAGCCTGGCTCTGCTGGTGAGACACTGACGTGTCGAAACCGGTGCAGATGCTTGCTTTGTCTTGAATCAATTCCGCCGAAATGACGCACTTCCCACAAGGCCGTGCAGCTGCTGCTGGTGGTCTGTGTCATCAAGGGTCCGTCTGCTTCACTCGCACCGCCCCCGCGCATTTCCGCGTGACGAAAGTGAAATGTAAGCGATTTGGATGTTCGCATGAACCCCTGCAATGTCTTGACGTTATTGTCTACACGGCTGTACCATTTGAAGTAACGTATAGGCCTTTGGCTTTTGCAGGATCCGGTTTGAGCAGGGAAGTGCCAGGCGCATTCCAGTGGTCATGGACACGTGGCGTGATATTTGGATGTTCTAGCGAGGTTGGTCGCATTTTTGGCGAGAAAATGTTGGAAATCGAGACATTTTCCCGGGAATGTCTACGGCGATAGGAACATCCTCGGTTGTATTCACGTCTTTCTCCGACGTCACCGTTTGGGAGATACAGAGCGTGACGGATGGATGGACCGACACTTGTGAATTATATATAGAGTATATATATAGATGTGGAGAGGCGGGTATGAGGAGGAGACATTGCTTGCTTATTTATTTTGTATGTGCTGTGGGGTAAGCTGCCAAGGAAACTAAAGCGAAGGTGAGATTTGTTGGAAACTTATTTATTTCCCCCCAACCGCGACGGCTCCTTGTGGGCACGTGGATCATAATGGACATCCCTCTGGACGTGAAGAAGCATTCCCTCCCTGTCAGTGTGGCCGTGGAGAGTCGCCGACATGGCAGGACAGGAGAGCACGTGCTTTTGAATCGCACTGTGTGCCACGTGTTTAATGGTTATACAGGGTTATCTATTAGGTACACAGGATGATTTTCGGCCCTTTGTCAACCCACTGCTGGTGGGTTAACAGTTCACTTGGCTGCCAAAGGGAGTGATATTTTAAAATGTACACCAACTTTCTCCCGAAGGGGTTCTTACAAATGTGAATTTTGCAATAATCGATCAACAGTTTTGCTGTAATCGATGCTCCCACCGCTTGCCATGTCATCTCTCTTCATAAACGATTCAAATAATGACATCAGTCATCCATGTCAAAACAATCATCCAGGCCTTCACCCAGCAATGGATCGATCGCGGCTGACGATATTCGACGTGTACAGGAATTTTATTGAAATTGGCACAATTGTAACGGGTTTTCTTTATATCATCTTCAGCCATGGTCTATCCACCGCTGGGTGAAGGCCTCCCCAAGCCGTCGCCATCTCTCACAGTCTCGCAATGCAAGGGATCCATCAAGCACTCGCACGCGAGCTAATTTCATCGCTCCGTCTCATCGGTGGATCACCTCTCGGACGCGTTTCTCCCGCCACTTTGGCTGCCACTCTGTCGTCAGCCTCGACCATCAACCATCACCCATCCTCCCGGCTGGCAACGACGCGCCCTGGCCAAGCCCCGCTCACTCTTCGTGACAGTTTCAATGGCGTCATTAACCTGCTGCGTCCGTTCTCCGACCCGTGTTCCTCTTCCCCACCGGGGCTCTCATCAGCACGGAGCAGCCCTTCCGTCAACCCACCACTGCTGGATGAGGGCCGCCCCCTGCTGTGCCTGTCGCGAGGGCTCTTTGACCGAATTTCACCATGCTTCGGCGGTGTGGAACAGTGGAAGCGGGCAGCATGGGCCGCGGATTTGCTCATCTCTCGGATCACAAGCCTCAGCCAGTGGATGAAATTCCACGTTCCTATGACGAGTCTCTGACTATCACAACCACTGTTGACTTCCCCACGAGGTGCTAGTCATTTGCATCACCCTCGGAGGGATGATGGGCGGATTCCCCATGAACGCGATGCGAGTGGACGCGTGTTCGACGCTGCGAAGAGAAATGTACAATTTATTTGCCTTTTAGCGCAACAACCACAACCGTCACGGAGCTTATTGAATCAGAAATCGAAAGGACGGGACTCGAACCGTTACTCGTCCTCTTGGCTGCTGGGTCAGCTTCAAATTAACCACACCCCCCCACCACCATCACCCCACAGGAGCCAGGGAGGAGGATATGGAGCGCAGGAGCTGTGCGCGAGCACGTGTCACCAGCGGGCAGGGTTCCCGTATTGATAACGCTTCGGTGTCCTCTCTGCTTGAACCCGCGTGTTGTCTGGTATGATTGTCCGATGTTTCGGTCCACGGCGGTGGTAGTGGCAGCTTCTTCAGGAACCGGAGCGAAACGTCGGACACTGATGCCGAAGAACGCGCGAGTACAACACACAAACGCAGCCGGAGGGCTGCTGGACAGCACAAACACGGAAACGGCGATGAACGTTGACTGCATCGAAGGCCCAGTGGCAATGATCACACACTTTGGGCAGGTCACCACCACCACCACTCAACACCTTGGGCAGGTCACCACCACCACCACTCAACATTCGTTCATAACACCACGGCATTACAAGGAACAATATCTCTAACAGGCGACGTTTCAGTTTACGACCGTTTTTTATACAACTCCGGGTCACTGCACGAAACGTCACCTATGAGGATGTTTTCTTTAAAGGCCAAGCACAGCGTTGATGAGCGTGTCCATTGTTAACTTGCTGTGTGCACCACTGCCAAGACAGAAGCAGCAGCATCACCAAATGCTTTAACGCACGGATATACAAAGACCCCCCACCCCCATAGCCTTAACAGACTGTTGGGACAAGTGCTGTTAGCGAGCACCCATGATGGCCAGGGGGGTGGCCAGCACCACGTCCGGCCGCATTTGTCTCCCTGGTGCTGACGTTCACCTCACCAGAGTGAGTCTACCTAGAGAAGACCCAGGACCGGTTCAGATCATCGTCACCGATGTTGGCCACGAACGGGAATTGAACTCGGATCGCCGGGTTCGTAGCGCAGCACGCTAACCACTGCGCCGCCACTCTACACCAAGACACACCCAGACACACACACAGACCACACACACACACAGACACACACACAGACACACACACACATCTCGGGTCACTTGCACATCTTAAATTGTCGCTAGGTCGGGAATATTCCCCGCCCGGCACCCAATGAGTGCGGCTAGGAGACTTGCAGCGAAGGCTAAATAGTAGAATGCGAGCCGCCGTTTTGGAAGCGGTACGAGGCGGCATCGTGTGCTCGCGGCGCGTGTGAAACCAAGTCGCGGGTCGGGTTGGGTCCACGGGGTTACGGGGTCGTGGGTTCCCCCCCGCCCCCCACTTCTGCATCACGCAGTGCGGGGTGGACGGACACGCCGATTAACATCGATTAATATCGTCTACGGAGGGCACGATTCGCGCATCGAGTCGGCGGCAACAATCGATTCGCTTCAATCCACGTGGGCGTCTGTGAATCGAGTTCGTTACAACGGCAGCACAAGTGATGGCACATCGACGACGAGGTGCTGAATCGCAGGGGGTGGCCGAAGGAGGGCTGGGGAGGCACCAAACAGAAAGGCCTCATGGTACCGCGCTCACCACCGCGGCTTCCATCGTCATCGCGCCGCCATGGTCTCTCCACTGCTGGACAAAGGCCCCCCACGAGCCGTCGGCGTGCTCCGACTCGCCGTGCGATGCAATGATCCCCACCCGGCTCCGGCAACGCGAGCCGACCTCATCGCTCCGTCTCCACGGGAAGGGGGGGGGGCGTCTTCTTTTCACTGCCACACTCCAGTCGCACGCATTGACCGCTGGCCATCGTCCCACACAATTAACAATATAGACGGCAGCGAAACCGACGTTTCGGACGAGGACCCTTCTCTTCATGGCCCTGAAGAAGGAACATCGCCTACATCGTCTCACTGAAGATTCCCCAGGAATCTGTGGTGTGCCGGATGCTGGGAAATAGATTCAGGCTTGGCCGACCCCTTTCACCAAACTCGCACGGACCAGCGTGGTGAAGTATGGTAAAACAACCCCGATGATTGACCCGAACGGCGTGGGGAAGCCTCCATCCAGCAGTGGACTAACGCAAACTCGAACTCGTTGTGACTATTGTCCTATTGCCGTACTCCCCGGATTGCAAGACGCTCCAGCGAGGCGCATCCCGGACCTGTGCCGGTGTCAACAGTCACACAAATTTGGCCACGGACAAAGATTCCCCATATAATCTCTGTCAGGCTGTTGGGGCAAGTGCTGTTAGAGAGCTCCCTTGGAGAGCCTCCAGGGTGGGGGTGGCCAGCACCACACATGCCCGGCAGCCTTTGTCTTCCCAGTGCTGATGTTTTTTTTTTAAACACCGCTCCAGGTACACATCTTTTACACGGAGTCAACCTAGGGGAGTGCCCAGGACCCTTTCGAGATATTCGTCAAAATTAAACCGGTGGTGGCCGGGTTCGTAGGGCGAGTGTGCCAACCACTGTGCCACCGCTCCCCACACCCACACACAAAGACACATACTTAATAGACTCAATAGACTTTTGGAGTAAGTGCTGTAAGCGAGCACCGCCACACACACGCCCCACGCCCACCGGGTTACAAGAGGGACCCCCCCAACGTTTGCTTGAAAATCCAGAGACGATGGGGCGAGGTTGCGTCATACAATGCGGAGAACGCGGCACAAGGCATGGTGAGCGACGTGGTGGGTGTCGCCGCACCGTGCCTCCTCACCACTGTCAACACCCGCTGCGTTTGGCACAGCCATCTCGATGGTAGCGGTGGTGGTGGTTGAGGTTGTGGTTAGGATGGGGGAGCGAGCGGTGGGGCTGTCGTAGGTGCCATGCGCTACGAACTCGGCAAAACCCGAGTTTGATCCCATTCCTCACGGCCAACACCAGGGATGAATATCTAAACCGATGCAGGGCCTCCCCCAAGTCGACTCAGCCTTAAATGATTAGCTGGTGCGGTGTGTAAACATCGGCACTGGTGGACATAAAGGCAGCCGGGCGTGGTGCTGGCAACCTACCCCAAAACCTCTTCGTCCTTAAAAGGTGTTCGCCAACAGCACATGCCCAGCCAGTTTGTTAAAGCCTATATAGGGGATCTTTGTCTGTTCGTTTGGGGTTGGGGTTACCCATATCCCCCCCCCATCGTCCCAACTTCCTTCGGTTATGAATTGAGGTGGGAGGAAGAGGATGTGGAATTAGTAGGGGACAGAGGATGAAGAGGGAAGCGGGGGGCTTGCTTGGGTGGGGGGGGGGGGGGCTTGCTTGGGCGGGGGGGGGGGGCTGCTCACTGGCGAGTGGCCAAGGCAGCGAGAGCCGAGTTCGAGCCACCACTCAGATCTGCCGTGCCACCTGCTCGCTCTAAATGCCACTTCCCACCGGCCTCAAATGCCACGGTATATTTTTTACGGTGACAGAGGCTGGCTGAGGAACCGAGGGTCGGGGGGAGGTGGAGGGCGAGATGGGGGAAGCACAGCTTGGCTTGTGGCGGGGGGGGGGGGCTACCCCTGGGTGCCCCCCTCCCCCCCCCCCTTTGGCAGTTGGCAGAATTTTGCGGGTGGAGGGGGGGGCTAGGTATGAGCCACCGACGCGCCGATAACAGTAATCATATAACAATAATTATTATAATAACAATATATTACACTTGCTATGAGAGCACAGACAACAAAGCCTCAGCGAGAGGGCACGCAGAGGGGCGGACAGCGACTCCGGGCCTCGCGGGCGGCTCAGGCGTGCGACCGGTGGGGAGTTCATCCACACGGCTCTGGGTGTGGGGGCAACCCCCTCCCCGACCCCCCCGCACCCCACCGACCCGGGCAACCACAGGAAGATTGGGGGGCGGGGCAGGGGGGCTCTGGGGCCCCCCCAGCGAGACCACTGCGTGGGACACTTCTCCCGGCCAGCGGGCGAGGGGGGAGAGCAGGGACGATTGACACTTTGACCCCGAAATGGGGTCGGCGAGGTCACACCAGCGTGACCTCTAAGCCTTCGTCCTGCAGGGCGGCGGCCTTCTTTGTTGGGGGCGGGGGAGCTGCCCTCACCTGCGGAACAAAATATGGTCATCAAGGTCACCATGGTCTCCATGGTCATCATCATTGTGGTCAACACCATGTGTGCATCCGCGCATGCATACGTGCGTGTGTGTACGTCTTTGTACGTGCGTGCGTGCGTGCAGGTTCACGCGGAGCGGCAGGTGCGTCGTACCGGCCGCAGCGAGGGTCTCTGTACGGGCGGGAGCCGGAACGCGCCTCCTATGTCTCCGTTGGCGCATCCGCTAGATCCAGCTGAGATTCACACAACAAAGACAAAGATCCCCCGCGTAGCTTCAACACCTGCTCACATTTCACATCACCGTTACACAGTGGCAATGTGCACACTGCAACAATGGGTACACATTTAAGACTGCGTCGACTTAGGGCAGGGCCCAGGACCGGTTCAGATATTCCTCACTGATATTGGTCCCGAGCGGGAATTGAACCCAGATGTCCGAGTTCATAGCGAGGTTAGATTTGGGGAAACTTCCTCGGAGTGGGGGGGGGGGCGCCCCCTATATGGATAACAACTGAAATGTGTTTCTCCGGTCAATATCCAGAAAATAGCAATTTGCGTGGTCATACAACGCGGAGAACGCGGCACAAGGCACGGTGAGCGACGTGGTGAGTGTCATCGCACTCCACTATCAACACTCGCTGCGTTTGGCGCAGCCATCTCGATGGTAGCGGTGGTGGTGGTTGAGGTTGTGGTTAGGGTGGGGGAGCGAGCGGTGGGGCTGTCGTAGGTGCCATGCGCTACGAACTCGGACAAACCCGAGTTCGATCCCATTCCTCACGGCCAACACCAGGGATGAATATCTAAACCGGTGCAGGGCCTTCCCATGATCATCTCCACGTGGGAGGGGGGGGGCGTGGAGGTTATCACCACCGAGTTTTTGATATTTCTTCGAAACTTGAACACGAACGCCTCTGCTCGGCTAACCCGAGTAGCTGGGGGGGATGGCGGAGGAGAGAAGCCGTGGACTGTAGGGGGGCCGCTCCATGGAGGGGTGTGGGGATGCGGGCGCGGATTCCTTGAGCCTGCTCCCGGCACGGCAGGCATGGAGGTGTTGCGTGCGGAGGGGACTCGCGCTCGGAGCACGCAACGTCGGTCGCGTCTTAGACCATCCGAGGAGGGGGCGGTGGATTGTGGGTGGGGGGTTGCCCAGGGGACGTGATTAATCAGCAGGCAGCATCTCGTTAATGATCTTCCAATAGCGCCGGCCTGGCTCCAGCCCCGGCGAGATCTCATTAGAGTTGCACTCAATGACGAAGGCACCAAATAGCAATAACAACAACAACAAACAACAAGAGGGGGGAGGAGGAAGGGGAGGGGGGGAACTGGAATCGATAATAAGTTTGAGTCAATTAAAAAATCTTGCGAAGCTGTGGGTGGCGAGGCAACTGCACGATGGGGCGTGTGGACATGGAGAGCCGCCCACACACACGGACGAGATGCACGCCGGAGTCTGCCGAGTCTGCCCATCTCACGGAATATTGCGCCAGATCCTCCAAGAGTCGGCGTTCGAGCCCCGGGTCACGCCCCTGCATGTACGGCTCTGTAGTTTATCCACTGCTGGATGAAGGGCTCCCCATGCTGTGTCGCTCGTGGGGGTTGTTTGACTCTACTTCGTCATGCTGGTCGGTGCGGGTGGGGGGGTTGGTGAAGCACGTTGTGGACATCACTTGCCACTGATGTTAGCCGTGGCCCGGAATCGAACTGGGGTTCAATGGGGCAAGGGTCGAGTCACAGTCTCCGTTGTTCTCATGAGCAGAGGGAGCGAATCACCTCCAGTCGTGGCTCAGAGCCAGTGGAGAGAAATTCCACATCTCTGTGGCAGACGTGAGGACAGGATGCTACCAGGGCCGTTTGTCTCCGCGAGGCCGTCACCCGAACTGGATTGTAAGAGCGTAAGGCGAACGGAGCAGAGGCGCCCAGTAATCGTTGAACTTCAGCCAACGGTTCCCACCACATGGACGCTAAGTACGATGTGCAGCAACGTCGGTGGTATAGTGGGTGGGCGCGTTTACCGGGCATCGTCTACCCTGGAGTGACCGTGACATCGACAATCGCCCGACGGTTGTCGCAGGCAGCACGCCGGCAACTTTACGAAACCAATCGCATCGCCAAACAATAAATATATTTAAGTAAAAAAACGCGTTCGGTTTCATGTTAAATTTAATCCAAGCGGAAAACTCGCGTCTGAGCGAGCGCGTAATCACCGTCTCGTGCTTGGTTCACATTATTCAGCAACGAGCGAAGGTGTATTTTTATATTTGCTCCGGGACGAGTCGTGGCGATCGTGACGAAGAACGCCGCTGAAACAAATCTGAGCCGGGCGGCGCGCGACTCTCCTCCAGCGCAAGCGCGGGGGGAGAGCCGCCTGCTCGTACCGTCTCTCGTGCCAGGCGCGGCGCTCATCGCCACGGCGAGCAACGGGAAATGAAATCCTGACAAATGTCACCGCCTCCGCCCTCTCCCAAGCGACGCTCGCCTCGTGGGCCCCCACAACCCCCCCCCCTCCTTACCCCTCCCACCCTTCCCCTCCTCCCCCCTTCCCGCCTCTCTCCCTTTCTCCATTCAACTCCTTGCCTCTCCTCCATCCGAGCCAGCTCTGTAATATCCGCTTCCGTGGGCCGTTGCGCTGCTCTGTGAGAGTTGCGCGAGGGGTCTCACGACGAGCCGCCGATAGCGACGTCGGGGAAACGACAAAACGACGTTGCGGGTGACCCCCGCCCCCCCCCCCCTGCAGGGCCACCGAGAAGTCTTCGTTTTCATCCCTGCCAACCCATCGCCATCACTCCCCTCATCTCCCTCCAAGCTCCTTGGAGGGAGATGAGCCCCATCTCTGTATCCCCATCTCCCTCTCTCCCTCCCCCATCTCCCTCCCCCATCTCTCTCTCTCCCCCAGTACCCTGTCCTCTCTACACATCTCAGAGGCTGGCACGGGGTGGGGTGGGGGTGGCGGTTCATGAGGAGCGGGGGGGGGCTCCGCGGAGGCAATGAAAGCGACGATGAGGTGCTCAGAGCGAGTGAGCCTCAAGCCCCACGCACTCAGAGCTGTCGGGGCGGGGTTCGCTAACAACAGCCATCGTCGTCGTCATCGTCGTCGTCAGCTCTGCCTTCGTCACGAACAAACCCACCACCACCATCATCATCACTGTGTTCTTCAAACGTCCGGTCAAAGTCATAGCGTCTCAGTCCACAAAGATGCATTATGACTCGGAGCCAGATTTGCAAACTCGACATTCATATGACAGAGACCAGTACATCCAGGGAATAAAATGTTTGGATCCGTGGAGACCCCAGATGGCGCATACGGTGTGCGATTGGCCTGCTGCAAGATCAGCGTGTTGGGTGCACCGCACGATTCATGCGCTGCTGCTGCTGCTGCAGCGGCAGGGGCACTCACCGATGATGGCGGAGGCTGGCCGCGGGGGCCGGGCCGGCCGGGGCACCTCGGGGCTCGGGGGGCCGCTGTGCGCCAGTGAAACCGGCCTCAACAAGCGGGACAGGCCGGCGGCGGGCGACTATGGGACACGCGCACACACACACACAGTGGTCGTCATTGGCAGTTCAACAATTCCCCACTGGTACCCGACCGGTACCCGACCAGTACGACGGCGCTAGTCCCGCAGTCACAGTAAGGGGGTGGGGCGGGGGGGGGGGGGGGCAGCACGCACCAGCGGGGACGGCCGGCGCTCCTCGTCGGGGCTCCTGCTGCCCCCGCTGCTGCCCTCGGCGCCGGCGCCGGAGCTCATCTCCTCGACGACGAGCGAGGGGAAGAGGCCGACACGGCCGTTGAGCTCGCCCTTCCAGAAGCCGTCGTCCACGTCGCCCTCCTCCACCTCTTCGTCGGCTCCGCCGCGGTGCAGGATGCGGATGATGGCGCCCTCGGGGAAAGAGAGCTCGTCCTCCGTCTGCGCCTCGTAGTCGTACAGCGCCCGTGCCAGCCACACTGCGGGAAGGGGGATCGCGCGCAGACGGACGGGGGTCACGGCCCGGCGCTCGGGGGTTCGGCCGACGGGGCTGCGGCGGGAAGGGGAGGGGCAGGCACGTGGGAGGGGGAGCGGTGGCGCCGCCGTTGCGCTTGCGCCCGCGAGTTTAGACCGCGTTGACGCGGCAGCTGTGTTCGTCCGTCCGTGCGTAACGTGGGGGTCACGATAACCCGATACGAATTAAACTGTGCCCATGATGACAGGGTCAAAGGGCAGCCGCCCTTTGATGGCGTCACTACACACGACGTATTCGACTCGGGGAAAAGATACCGAAGTGTGAAGAAGCACACGAACAACGACCGTGGCAGTAACTGTCAGAGAGCTACGAGGAGGTGGCTGAACGGCGACGGCGAGAGAGCGACTGGCGTCGAATCGCGGGATCGTCCGTCAGCGCAACAGCTCTGCGTGGAGCAGCGGTGCGGTTAGCACCGTGCCCGGCTAGCTGAGAATAGAAAATAGGCGGCGCGACGGCGGGCTCCACGCGGTGGCATCCACCGGAGCCCGGCGACGGCGTTTTCAGTTTTGACCGAAATTCAAACTCCCAATGCGGTGGGGGGCGGGGGGGACAGGCAAGGAGACCTCTTCTGTTTCCCCCCAGCCCCCACTCCTCCACTCTGCTCTGCACGGCCCCCACCCTCCACCCCTCCATTACCCCCGCACCGGCCCTCCCCCCCCGCCGCGTCTCTCTGCGTCCGTAAGACTCGGAAAGTCCTCGCAACAAAGCGACGTCGTAAATATTTAAAGAGCGCTAAATACTTCATTGGGTGCAAATCCCCACGCCGCCCAGCACAATGCACGCGGCTCAGCCCGGCGGCGGATTAAACAGCGAGTCGGCAATACACGGAGAGCGCAGCCCCCCACCCCCCAAACCGCCGAGCGGAAGGGAAGGCGACGAGTGGAGCAGCGCCAAGCGATCGCAGCCGAGGGGCTGTACGCGCACGTGACAATAACAAAGGTCCCCCGTGTAGCCTCGAACAGGCTGTTGGGCCAAGTGCTGCTAGCGAGCGGCTATGACGGCCGGCACGGCACTCCAGGGGGGGAAGTGTGGCCAGCACCACGCCCGGCTGTTTTTGTCTCCCGAGTAGCGATGATTACGTATTGCTCCAGATACTGATTTGAAGCTGCGTCGGGTAAGCCCAGGACTGGTTCAAATAATTGTCACCGGTGTTGGCCGTGAGCGGGAATTGAACTCGCTGGGTTTGTAGCGCAGCGCGCTGTCCACGACACTACTGTTCCCCACACACACTCATACTCCACACACACACACACCCTCCACACACACTCACTCTCCACACTCCTACACGTACACGCTCGTACGCACGCGCTCGCACGCACTCTCACACACGCATCAGTGCGCACCACTGTGGAGGGAGTAAGGGCGGGGTGGCGCGGGGGAAGCGGAGAAGCGGAGAAGCGTGGTTCTCTGCGGGGAATGTGCCTCGGCGCTCGGGAGCTGCATTAGCGCAGCGACATCACGCGTCGCCACGTACACGCGCACGCATGCGCACGTACGTACACGCGCCCCACTTAGTGCGTCAATGCCGTCTCTGGCCGTGGCTGCGATCTCCGCCACGGCTGCCCACAGATCAATAGCCGCCACTGCAGCAGCAGCAGCAGCAGCAGCAGGGCCTGGGCGCTCTCCGTGGTGCTGAGCACAGCCAACTGCTCGCTCCTGCAGTCCCTCTGTATGTATGTCTGTAGAACTTCTCTCCCACAGGACGTAGCCAATCTGTCCCCTCGCCGTCCAGAAATTCCTCCCTCCCCTTGGCTCCCTCTGCCAGCTACCCCTACATCTCCGTGCTCCGGCAATTCTCCCAAGTCCAGGAGTGTCCACCCTCCCGCTCCAGCCAATGTCTTGCGTGTGCGCATGTCTGCGCGTGTGCGCATGTCTGTGCGTGTGTTGTACGCACAGGGAAGCGGCAGGGTCGCGCTCGGTGAGCTGCGCTACCAACCCCGGCGAGCCGAGTTCGATTCCCGCTCACGGCCGACATCGGTGACGAATATCTCCGAACCTGGTCCCCGGCTTCACGCCTGACGTCCACTTAGCCTTGAAATTAGTACCTGATGCAGTGCGTAGGAGGCATCAGCACTGGGGAGACAAAGGCGGCCGGGCGTGGTGCTGACCACACCACGCTACCAGTGTGCCGTGTTGGCCTGGACAGGTGCTCGCAAACAGCACCTGCGTTGTGTTCAGGCTATCGGGGGTGGATCGCCGTCTTTCGTCTCGTCGACCTTCAGGAAAGAGTGAAGCTTCATATTTGGCAAGTTCATTTGGTTGAAGCCCGGCGACAAGTCGACGGGTTGGACGGTGAAGAGGGTCCCAGGACGAGCGCAAGCGATCGACCTGGCTCTCTACAACGCTCAGGCTATCGAGGGGCGGGGGGGCAGTCGGGGTGGAGGGGGTGGGGGGGGGGACCGGCGTCTCCGTACGGTCGCTCACCCCCGAGCGAGGCTTCGGTGGGCAGCTCGGGCTCGATGGAGTTGCCCGACGTGTAGGAGATGACGTCCGCCGACGTGCTGCCACGCAGACCGCCGGCCCCGCCGCCACCCCCGAACCCCCCCCCGGGCCCCCCGCCCCCCCCGCCGGGCTCCAGCGGCTGGAGGTATTTCTCCGGCACGTAGCCAACTTTGCCTGCCGCGTTCCGGCCCTGCGCTCACACAGACACCACGCACCCCATATAGAGCACACATAGCATACATAGCACACCATGCGCACCACACACACACCGCACATAACATCCACACACACAACACACATAGCACACCATACACACCACACACACACCACACATAGAACTCCACACACACAACACACACACCGCACATAGAACTCCACATAAACACCGCACGTAACATTCACACACCACACACGCATGGACACAGAACAAATGGCAATGAGCTCAAGTGTGGTGGTGGTGGTGGTGGTGGCACCTGTGATGATGTGATGTGGGATGGTGTGATGTAAGGATGGGTGCTCATGAGACTTGTAGATCGTGTGACATGTTCAGAAAGTCTCGGTGAACCTCAAGCCTCTTTTTCAGGAGGGTCCTGTCAAGCTTTTGGCAGTCGGGGCGGTGGTGGGGGGTGACGCTGCTGCTGCTGCTGTGTGAAATCCTAGTGGAGTGATTTGTAGGTTATTTGTCAGTTTGGCCAATGCCAGCTACAATGTGTGGAGGATTTGATATTCAGCTCGCACGGATGGCAGAACGTCCGGGCCATGGGACACGTGAATCGTGGGACGTCCTCACCTTGACCCAGTCCTCCATGTCCCCGTCCTCGATGATCTCCAGCATCTCATCCTTGTCAATCGTCAACTCATCCGGCATGTTCGCCTGCACAGACAAAGACAAAAGCACCCCGTGTTGCCTACCTACACGGACGCACACGTACGCAATCGCTACGCACGAAGACAGTCGCCCTGCAACAACAACGGAGGGCAGGGGAGCGACGCTCACAACAACGAGCGGAGCGCCGGGCGGCTAAAACGCAGCGAGGCGGCACAGTTAGTAGCACAGCCGCTCGTGCATCTGCCGGTCATCGCGGCACCCCGGGTCCGTTCCGTGATCTCCTGTCAGCAAGCTTTCGACACTTCAAGTGACCTCAGGGTGCACCTACCCTGGCACTCGCGCCGTGGTGAAATCACGGCTACTAAGTGGCGAACGCCCGACGTTACTGCTGCGTGCGTGTGAGCGTGTACGCGTGCGGGGGCTTCTGTTCTTCATCACCGTGGGCTGCGCGCGTGCCACGATGCACGGGGATGCGCATCCCTGTTGCTCATCCCTTCTGACAACCGCCAGCTAATGAGCGACTGGCACACTCCCGCCCAGACACACTCCCGCCCAGACACACTCCAGCCCTGACACACTCCTAACTCTGACACACTCCTAACCCTGACACACTCTTAACCCTGATACCTTCCTAACCCTGACAGCCTCCCACCTCGACAAACAACACACTCATCCACAACGTACGCTCACCATACCCACTCTATGGCCCAACAAACACTGCCAGGCACATACCACCCACAACACCCTCACCCTCACCCTACACCCACACCACACACACCCCACATACTACACCTGCGCCGTGTATCCTCTCTACCCCCATGCACACCGCACCCATCGTACACCCATCACAAACAACACAGACTGCAACACACGCTGGCACCCACCACACACCACGCACACACACACCACACACACCACACACACACACACCACACACACCACACACACACACACCACACACACGCCGCACACACCAAACCACACACCACACACACACCACACACACACGCCACAGACACACACACCACACACATGCCGCACACGCCGCACACACACACACCACACACCAAACCACACACACAACACACACCACACGCACCACACAGACACGCACCGCACACACGCCGCACATAACCCCACCATGTGGCATAAATAACGAGGAGCGGGGCGGCACGGCACGGCTGCCGCTGGCGCCAGCTCCGGCCTGGCAGTGCAGCTCGCGCTGCCAGACGCCCGGGCCCGTCGGGCGCAGGCCCAGGATTTATTACCCCACGCAGACAGCGCCCTGCCGGGACCCGGGCTTCGCTCTCTCTCCCTGCTTCTCTCACTCTCTCTCCCTGCTTCTCTCTCCCTGCTTCTCTCGCTCCCTCTCCCGGCTTCTCTCGCTCTCTCTCCCTGCTTCTCTCTCCCTGCTTCTCTCGCTCTATCTCCCTGCTTCTCTCGCTCTCTCTCCCTGCTTCTCTCGCTCTCTCTCCCTGCTTCTCTTGCTTCTCTTCCTGCTTCTCTTGCTTCTCTTCCTCTCTCTGGCTCTCTGGCTCCTTCAATCTTTCCCTCTCTGGTTTTCTCTCCCTCTTGCACCCTAATTCTCTAACTCCCATTCTCTCCCTCCCACTCTCGTTTTCTCCTCTTTCTCTCTCTCGCCCTGTGCCCTGTCGTGCTCTCTGGCTCTCCTTGTCTCTCCCTCGCCCCGTCTTGGTACATCTGCAGCTTACTTCACACCTGATGTTTCAATCGGGTTGATACAGAGAGGTTAAATATGGCAGCACCACTGCTCCTCCACTGTCAACTATCAGAGCTTGCCTTTAACTCTTCCTCCCTCTCCCCGTATTCCTCTCTCTTATTGTTCTTGCCTCTCTATTTCTCATTGCCACTCCCATTTCTTTCATTCCAGTATATGCTCCTCCAGTCGCACGCACGCACTTACGCACGCACGTCCTGCACACACAAATGCACACGTACGCAAACACATGTGTACACACGAGGACAAATAAACACACGAACACATACAACTCCGCAAATACACACAAAGACAAAGATGCACAGTATAACCTTTAACAGACTGTTGGGCAAGTGCTGTTAGCGAGCGCCTACGAAGGCCGGCACAGCACACACCTTTGTCTCCCCGGTGCTGATGTTTACACACCGCACCAGTTACTCATGAGGACGAGTCGACCTAGGGGAGGCCCCCCTAGGTCGAATCGAACTCGGGTCTCGGCGTCCGTCGCGCAGCGTGCCAGCGCCGCCGTGCCAGCGCCACCGTGCTAGCGCCACCGTGCTAGCGCCGCCGTGCCAGCACCGCCGTGCCAGCGCCACCGTGCTAGCGCCGCCGTGCTAGCGCCGCCGTGCTAGCGCCGCCGTGTTAGCGCCGCCGTGCCAGCGCTCCGTAGCTCGCCAGGCCGAGTGCGGCCACTCGAGCGATGTGCGCCCAGCGGCTGTGGCACCCGGATTTACGACTCGGCGCTGCCCGAGCAAGCAGAGGGTCGGCACAGAAATAAATAACACGCGCGCACACACGCGGACACACACGCGCATACACGCGGACACACACTCGCATACACGCGCGCACACACACACGCGACGGTGGCTACGCTGCTGCACGTGGCTGCCTGTAATCGTCCATCGCTGTGGACGAAGCAGCGAGGGTTGGTGGATCACCGCACAGATGTTGCGAATCTCCCTTGCTGCTGTGGGCGTTGAGGAAGTGCCATACCCTGGGTTGCCAGGAGAAAGCGGTACAACAGAGCGTGGACTCCTCCTGTTCCATCTGCACGTGCGTGTGTGCCCGAGTGCGCGTATGTGTGTGCATGTGTAAGTGCATGCTCGTGTATGTGTGTGTGCGCTTGAGTATGTGTGTGTGCACACGTGTGCGTGCTTGTGTATATGTTCATGTGTGTATGTGCATAAGTGTGCGTGTCTATGCGTGTGCGTGTCTATGTGTGTGTGCGTAGATGTTTGACGCACCTGATAGGAGTAGAGGACGCGGCACGTCTGTGGGTACTGCCGCCAGGTCCCCGAGGGCGAGGAGCCACTCTCATCCAGAGTGTCCGACTCAAACTCCTCGCCGTCGTAGTATCCTCCCAGCGACAGCTCCTCCTGGTGGGGGAGGGGCAGGGAGCCAGGGGGTATCAGTACATGGGCACGGTGAAGTATGGACGTTTCATATCGGTGGAAACCGCGGTCTTGAGACGCTGCAGACGGGGAGAGAGGCAGGGGAGACATTCGGGATTTGGAATTCCCTCCCAATGTCGCTTTTCCCAAGCTCTTGCCCGATTCACGTAATGCGTTACACTCGAATCCATTACAACTGTGACGAGTGCTGCTTGTTGCTAACCGTTTGTGATTTTGGTCCTTTGGGTCCTTGTGTTTAGCACCTGTGTTAAAAAAATTGCACATTTACAGACTCAAGAGATGGACACAAGACAAAGATCCCCCCGTATATCCATTAACAGACTGATGGGGCAAGTGCTGTTAGTAAGCAGGACCTATGAAGACTGGCACCACGCTCGGCCACCTTTGTCTCCCGAGTGGCGATGTTTACACAGCACACCGGGTACTGAATTTGAGGCCGAGTCGACCTAGGAGAGGCCCAGGACCGGTTCAGATAATCGTCACTGGTGTTGGTGGCCGTTAGCGGGAATCAAACTTGGGTCGCCGGGTTCGTAGCGCAGCGTAATAACCGCTACGCCACCGCTCCCAACACACACAGACGCACACAGACACACGCAGACGCACACAGACACTCCCAGACACACCCAGACGCACACAGACACATAAATGCGCACGCACACCCTTATGCACGCATCACTGCAGGAAGCGGGATTATATTCAGGTCAGCGCACAAACTGCCCGTGCCGAGGGAGTGCGGGAGGGAGGGGAGGAAGGTGGGGGGTGGAGGGGAGGGAGGAGAGGGAGGGAGGGGAGGGAGGGGAGGATCTCCTCGGGGCTGAGCCACCTCGAGCCGTCACGGCGACCAAGCGACGTCACAAACCCCAACTCGTCATCCCCCTCCTCCCACTGCTTCCCTCCCTTCCTGCCTCTTCCTCCACTGCCATCACCTCCACCCTCTCTCCCCCCCCGCCTTCCAACCCAGCCAAGCGATCGATGGCTGGAAGACATCACGGCTTACATCAATGATTTACTCTCCCTCCTTCCCCCGCCCCAGGTCCTCCCAGGGCCACCAGGCAGCTGGACGGGCCGAGTGGCCTCCACCGGCAAGAAGCCTGAGCTCGGCTCAGAAAGTTCATCCAGAGAGTACTTTTGTTCCCATATGCAATCCCATTTCCAGGTAATTTCACAGCATTGGGACGTTCGGCAAATACCAGCTACACTGCATTATTATTTCTCGCCGTGGAAGTAAACCGGAGAAACGGGAGAATACCGCAGGCAGAGTAGGGGGGGGGACACACCGAGAGACGCCCTCCCCGTCAGTAATTGGGCATAACCACTGCGCCACCCTTCCGGTATTTCAATTGCACGTAATTTAAATAAGTAATTTCATTACATTTGTAATTGCCATAAAAATTACATGGCTCAAAGTAATTGCTAATTTTGTCTCACAACAACAGCACAACACATGGGCAACACACGCACACACACTACGCACTACCCATACCGCCGCACACCCGCCCCCCTCCGTGCCCCCCGCACATCTTCCCATCGCTCGGTTTTTCTGTTGACCCCCCCAACCCGCCGAGCCCCCTGCACCCCCCTGCCCACCCCCTCCCCACAGCGTCTGGCAGAGCAGCGGCGGCAGCAGCAGCAGCGCTCGTCAATAATTGAGTGGCCGAGCGCGAGGGCCTGCAGTGCGGCTCCCGTTAATGGGGGAAACGCGCAGGAAGCGGCTTCGCTCGGCACCATCCTCCCACTTTGTTATCGTCGTCGTTATGATCATCGCAATGCCTGTTTGCCCAGCAAGGCCTCACCGAGTCTCGCGACTCGTCCAGCAGGAGGGTCCTGCCAAGTTTTCGCAGTTGGGGGAGGGTGGGGGTGATGATTGTTGTGTATATTTTTTTAACCATCAGCTGTGATCAATCTACTGCTGCAAGAAGGCCACGAGCCGAACTTGTTGTCGGCGGTGCCCCCCCCGATCGGAAACCGGGGGGGGGGCTTTTTTATATATATATATAAAAGCATGGGGAGGCAGAAGTTGGTGGTGCAATGGTTGGCGCACTGTCTTGTGAACTGGCCATCCGAGTTTGATTCCCAACGACGGCAAACATCAGTGGCGAGTGGCATCAGAACCCATCCTGGGTTGCCTGCTTTGTCATATGCCACTGCCACGGCGAGCCACTCCGTGCCACTCCGTGTCACGCAGGAAGTTAAGCTGAGCACGAGAAGCCATTTGCTATGCCGCTCACTCGTCCATTAATTAACGTCAGCAGACAGTGGGCGAGAGCCGATGGGAGGGGTGGGGGTAGTGTGTGGGGGTGGCGAGTCAGTGTCACGCGAGTGTGGGGATGGGTGGGATGAGTGGCGGCGCGCTGAAGGGGAGGACAGGCTGCGATTGTGAAGTCGCTGCTAGGGAGGAGGAGGAGGCCTCCGACTGATTCAACCCTCTCGCGGTCCGGGCACACTCTCACCGGGCACGCTCTCACCGGGCGCACTCTCACCGGGCACGCTCTCACCGGGCACGCTCTCACCGGCAACGCTCTCATTGGGCGCGCTCTCACCGGGCGCGCTCTCACCGGGCACGCTCTCACCGGGCACGCTCTCACTGGGCATGCTCTCACCGGGCACACTCTCACCGGGCGCACGACGCTCCTCTTTGCAGCCAAATGGCAATGGCGGCTTCCGATTGAGGGCATCAGGGACAGTAGTTTGTGTGTCTATGGGTCTCCGTGGGATGACTCCAACCACCCCCCTCCTCCTCAGCCTCCCGTCACCATCACCGCGCCATCGAACGAGGCTCCCCACAACGAGGGGGAGGTCGCCGCTCCTCCTCCTCCCCCGCCCGCACACCCCCCCCCGTCCACTCCCTGCGGCCCCCCCCTTCCCCGCCCCCCTGCCTCCCCGTCCCAAGTCCAGGCTCACGGTCATTTCCCGTGGCCACACAGGGACTCGTAGACTCGCACGGGGACTCGTAGACTCGCACGGGGACTCGTAGACTCGCACAGGGACTCGTAGACTCGCACGGGGACTCGCGTCCCTCCGACTCGGGGAGACCTGCGACTGCATCCCTGCTGCCGCTGGGTAAGCCCACGGTGCGCCGCGTTGAGATTCCCGGCCCTCCAGCCGCGGCACGAAGCCCAGGGCGGTCGTGGGCGGCAGCATCAGCAGCAACATCATCATCAGCATCATCATTAGCATCATATCTGAACCGGTCTGGGGCCTCCCCCTGAGTCGACTCGGCCTTAAGTGCGCGAGAACCACCGTGAACGTGTCGCGACAAGCACTCGCACAGGAGCACACCTGCACACTTGCGTGCACGCTCACCTTCACCGCCGTGCGGTCCCCAGATCCCCCCCCCTCCCCCCACCCACCGGCCCAGCTGTACCGGGGTCACGCGGCCCCCCACCCTCATTCATATTCCAGCCGAGATTCGGCATTTGGGCCGCATCCCCCCCCCGGGCAGCAGCGAGCGGCCCCACGTAATTAGAATGGATCCAGCACCCCGCTCACTCCTCCTGCTCCTCCCCCCATGTCTCCCTCCTGCTCCTCCTCATCCCTGCATCTCCCTCCTTCTCTCCCTCCTCCTCCTGCTGTGTGCCATCGCTGGTATGCGTGAACATCACGCCACATCGTCGCCACATCGTCACCACAATTATCACCACAATCGTCATCACCACCATCATCATCATCATCTACCCACCAGAGACTAAAGCCTGGCTGACTGTGATGAGATCAGAGTCTGAAGATGCAGGCTGGGATCGTTCAGTGACGTCACCAGAGACCGTGGCGCTCCGAGCAAGACCAGGCATGGTAATTGGCTACGGACGTCAAAGAAAACGAATCGCGGAGTTCGCTAATTGGCTGACCTCTTAATGATGGTTTGGGAGAACCGAACGCGCCCCTTTAACATTGACATTTAAAAACACAGAGTGGAGTCAAGAGTTTGACTGCTAACGTCGAGTAGACTGGCACGCAAATCCCCCTCGCAATCGCTCATCACAACACGAGAACACAGGAAGGAGGTTATGCGGTAAGGAGGGAACGCAGGAAGGAGGGAACACAGGAACAGCGCAGTCCTCACCGTGGGCGAGAGTTCCCCGTTGTTGCGCCGCGCCTCGCTCGCGCGCCGCTCGCTCTCCAGCTCGGCCGTCGCTTTGGTCATGGCGCCGTCGAGCCAGAGGTCGGCGTCGACGCCGACGCGCCGCAGCAGCGAGAGGCACGCGGCGGCCTTGAGCCGGTCCGTCTGCGGGCGCAACCACACGCAGCGGCCGCGTGGTGAACAATGGCGGTCGCAATCGCGTTCGATCGCGTTCGCACGCGGCGCTGTCCTTCAGTAAAATCGCTCAACCTCACACCCGCCGGGGAACCACAGATGAGCGGGGAAGGCGGCCGCAGCAGCTGCAGCAGCCAGGCGGTAAGCCGGTACTACAAACGATTGCCCAGGCTCTGCAGTCCTCTATGTAGCAAGATTTTTTTCAGCCAATTAAATGAGTACTTATCAGTGTGGGAGCCGTACCGGCTTCTCCTGGCGAGCCGAGGTCTAACACCTCCTCGACGCCCACGGGAAGGGGTTTCACAACATTTGCGCATTCCACCAACCTTCGCTGTGTCCAGAGTGCTGGATTACAGGCCACGTGCATAGCCACGACCGCCAGTCGAGCCTTTCATAGACCACTGATACAAGTGCTGTTAGCGTGCACACCTATCAAGGTCTGCTCGCACACACGCAAGCGTGAGAGCACTTGCACATGAAAAGAAGCTTTTGTGAAAGCAGGCACGTACACACACAAACACACGCAAAGCACAGATGTCCACCAAGGAATGGACACGCGACGAACACAAGTACGCTCACACGAATAAACGCATGTGTGCAGCCACTACACAACACAAACACCCCCCATATGGCCTTGAACACACTGTTGGGGCAAGTGTTGTTCGCGAGCACATATAAAGGCCGGCACGGTACACGAGGGGGTAGGTGGCCAACACCAAGCCCAACCGCCTTTGTCTCCCTGTTTACACATCGCACCAGGTACTCATTTGAGGCTCAGTCGATCTAAAGGAGGCCTAGACTGATTCAGATAATCATCACCGGTGTTGACCGCGAGAGGGAATTGAACTCGGGTCGCTGGGTTCGTAGCGCAGCGCGCTAACCGTTACACTACTGCACGCTACACGACACACACGTGCACACGTACGTGCGCATGCACGCATAGGTGCTTGCACGCACTGGCAGACGATGCACACACAACACGCACGCAGGAACGCTGCAGTCATTAAGCTGATTTGTTGAGACCAGATGCTCGTGCAGACTGGAGCCGAGTGAACGTCTCTCTCTCTGCCATCACGGGGAGTCGGTGCCACTCGCGACTCCGCAGGTGATGGCGTCGGTGCGGGGAAGCGCGGTGCGGGTCGCGGCGTCGCGGGGGTCACGGGGACGCTGAGCGGGGGAGCGGAGATGACAGGGTCTCACTCCGTCAGAGACACACAGCCGACTTGGCACCGTGTCCCCGTGTCCTCGTCTCCCTGGATTCCCATGATTCCGTGTTCCCTAGTTCCCTGGTTCGTGTTCTCATCTTCCTGCATTCCTATGTTCCCATATTCCCTCCTCCTATGTTCCCACGATCGTGTGTCATCACATCCACACATCCTATCTTCCCACGTCCCCGTGTTCTCATCTTCCCGTGTCCGTGTCCGTGTCCCACATTGCTACGTCCCCGTGTTCCCGATAGTGCCACCTCAACCATTCCCATTCATACTCACTCCCACTCGAAGCGTCACCACGAACACAACGCACTTCCCCCCCCCCACTAATGGTGTGGGTTGAGTGGTGGGTGGGTGGGTGGGTGAGGAAGAGGTGGGGCCCCATGTCTCTCTGTCTGGCAGCTGTAATTGGCAGTGGTACGCTTGAACGGCAAGGCACGTATGCACTCACGCGCACAGATGCAAGCACGCGTGTGCTAGCGTATAAGTATGCTCATGCACGTAGGCGCACATATGCACGCACGTATGCACACGCTCACACATGTACGCGCACACACATGCGCCGCACGTGCACAAAGACATGCACTCATCTGTGCACGCTCGCATGCACATGCACGCTCGCACACCCCGCATCGCACCATGCACACAAACCAGCCGCACGCTGCATTTCTCACGAGGGCGGGAGTGGGGGGGCGGCCGTGACAGAGAGGCAATAAACACTGGAGACCTCCCTGGCTAGGTAAACCGCCAGCCACGTGCCGACTGCTCCAGTCGGACCAGCGACTCGGTGTGAACACAGCTCAGAACGCCGCAATGAAGGGGGGCGGTGGGGGGCTCTGCCACCTCCTTGGCGATTGGCCGAGGAGGTCGATTAGGTTTCGCAAAACTCCGTTCCCGTGGGCATCGACGCAGTGCCCTGGCTGGCCAGGAGGCGGCGGTGCGGCAAAGTGCGGACTAATCTCCGTCGGTACCATCTGTACGGCACCGACGTGCCGCGCCTTTCACGTGCGTGGGGTTTTCTCGGGGTGCTACGGTTTCCTCAAATATGTGTAGACACTCATTAATTGGCTGGAAACATCTTCATATGTAAAGCACTGCAGAGCTTGCACAACGGCTGGTAGCGCCAGCTCGCCGCCCGGCTCCTGATCCTTCACTCGTCTGTGGTTCCTCGGCTCCTGTGAGATGCAATTTGTGTGAACGTTGCTGAATAAAAGTAAACATTATTATTATTATTCCCAATAGGCGCAATAATATGGCCCCGCGGCATTCACAGCCTGCTGTAGAGGTCATAGGTGTAACCTGGCAGGTCGCCCGGTATGCCACTGCTATTGGTCTTGAGTGGGAATCAAACTCGGGTCACCTGGTTCGTAGTGCAGCGTATCAACCACTACTGCTCACAACTACGCACATACATAGCACACGTCATGACACATATACACACACCTCCATTCTTCTAACTCGTATAGCAGACACTCATACAATTAATATTGTACTCATCTCTACCCACAAACCTCCGCTTCTCCCACAATCCCCTGCATTCCCCAATACCCCCACCCCACACGGCGAAACCACCCCTCCCCTCCGCACACTTTATTCATTATTACTCTCAGCCAGAGCAATTTACAGCCACAATTCTGTAATTTAGGGCAAATTAAAAACGCAAATATTGCACATCCAGCGTAAATCAGATCACGTTGCCCTTCATGAATGTGCAGTGCAAGGCAAGCGTTGCTGGGAGCAGAGAGAGGGGGGAGAGAATCAAATGAGGGAGGGAGGGAAGGGACACGGTATTGGGAAAGCCGAAGGGAGCGAGGGAAGCACGAGAAATCGCAGAATGGAGCTATGCGGCAGCAAGGAAATAAATGAGCAATGAGGGGGAGTGAGGGGGAGTGAGGGAGACACGGAGAGACGGGGAGGGGAGAGATGTGGCGGCGGCAAGGAGGGGGGACGGGGAGGGGGCAGTGAAGAGAGATTTCTCCGAGCCGGAAGTCACGCATGCGTGTCGTGCGTACGGGCAGTCTTGCCACACACACGCATGCACACACACGCGTGCACACACACGCATGCACACACACGCGTGCATGTAGACACGGACGAGTGCACGCACACAACAACACCGTCACAACCAACCGCAAGAACGGGGAGACCCCAAATCAGATATTCACGATGGCGGCCATAGAAGTGCCGGTGGTGGCCGACTGCACCGCCTGACAGGCACCTGTCCCCCTCCGACACCCCCACCACCCTCCTATGAGGGGGGCCCACACGGTCTCCCTGGGGGGGCCACTGGACAGCCCCCCCCCCCGCCGCATTGCGATGGCGACGCGTGCCTCGAAGCGATGGCGATGCGTGCGAGTGGGAGCATGTGTACGTGCGAGTGGGAGCGTGTGCACGTGCGAGTGGGAGCATGTGTACGTGCGAGTGGGAGTGTGTGTACGTGCGAGTGGGAGCGTGTGTACGTGCGAGTGGGAGCGTGTGTACGTGCGAGTGGGAGCGTGTGTACGTGCGAGTGGGAGCGGGAGCGTGTGTACGTGCGAGTGGGAGCGTGTGTACGTGCGAGTGGGAGCGTGTGTACGTGCGAGTGGGAGCGTGTGGACGTGCGAGTGGGAGCGTGTGTACGTGCGAGTGGGGGCGTGTGTACGTGCGAGTGGGAGCGTGTGTACGTGCGAGTGGGAGCGTGTGTACGTGCGAGTGGGAGCGTGTGTACGTGCGAGTGGGAGTGTGTGTACGTGCGAGTGGGAGCGTGTGTACGTGCGAATGGGAGCGTGTGTACGTGCGAGTGGGAGTGTGTGTACGTGCGAGTGGGAGCGGGAGCGTGTGTACGTGCGAGTGGGAGCGTGTGTACGTGCGAGTGGGAGCGTGTGTACGAGCGAGTCGAGTGCCTGATGACGACCGTACGAAGGAGCCCCATTGCACATTCGCGAGCAGCGATGCAAATGGGGAGTTGTGCGTTATCGACAAGCGGCTCTGAGAAATTCAATCGCTACGCCGAGTCGTGACCAATCACAAAATCGCTGCGAGTTGGAAGAGGGGGGGGGCAGATGAATCACTGGACTGGGGATCGGTGTGCATCTGAGCCCCGGGACGAGGGGTGGACGGATGGAGGAGGGGCGGAGGTGGTGTCAGGTGGGACGGGGATGGTGATGGTCCAAGATGAGGAGGGGAGATGCGTGTTGGTGGTGTGGTTTGGGTGTCGAGGTGGAGGATTGCAGAGGAGAGGGAGGTGGTGGTGCTTGGCGAGGAAGGGAGGAGGGCGAGGGGAGCGGTGGGCAGCAGCGACAACCCAAGCCAGAGCCAGGGACCGCATTCCAATTCAGAACGCGGGTAGCATGGGGGGGGGGGGGGGTAACGTGCGGGGAGGGGCAGGGGGGGCTGGGGGTGGGGGGCCTCCCACGTTGGTATTCCTGCCGTGTCACGCCGCCTCCGTCACGGTGGCGAGGCGGAGGTTCCCTTCCCCGCGTCGCCTCCGAGGCGAGCGAGGCGAGGCGGCGATCGTCACCGGCGCGGGGCGCCGTGTGGGTGACGAGACTCGCAGAGCGTCCCTCTCGTACGCGGCCGCAGCTCCGCGTGTCACCGCCGTCGTGATCGTCGTCGTCGTCACGAGACATCGTCTGTCGACTGCTGGATACCTTCCCCTACATCATCATGTGATACGGGCTATGCACTGCGAGACAAAAAATCTCCCATGACACGTGGTCTATCCACTGCTGAGGGTCTCAGAGCGCACCTAGCCTGGCACAAGCGCTGCCGAGGTGTCCGCGGGTATACAAGTGCGGAGTCTTGTGTGAATGTCCCCCCCGTGCGTGCGTGCGGCTCCACCACCCCCTCTTGGTGCTACTCGCTAACAGCACTTGTCCCAAGAGTCTGTAAAGGCTATAGGGGGAACTTTGTCTTTGTGTGTGGGGGGGGGGGTCACAGGTGGCTCCAGATTACCCACAATCACTCCCCTCCCCCACGCCTCCTCACATCTCCTCCCAGCACGGCGCTTACCAATCAGTGAGTAACGATTTGAAAAGCGAGGGACCTAATTAAATGTCTTCGTTATTTATTTAAGCCAACATCTGACGATTATATATTTATATTTCACTTGGCGACATTCTCCTGATTGGGCGCTCAGAGAACACGGCGGATTCCATTGGTGGCAGCGTAAACCGGTGTTCACCTCACCGCTCCACCTCACCGCTCCACCTCACCGCTCCACCTCACCGCTCCACCTCACCGCTCCACCTCACCGCTCCACCTCACTACTCCACCACTCCACTCCACCTCACCACTCCACCACTCCGCTCCACTTCACCACTCCACCTCACCGCTCCACCTCACTACTCCACCACTCCACTCCACCACTCCACTCCACCTCACTGCTCCACCACTCCGCTCCACCACTCTGCTCCACCTCACCACTCCACCTCACCGCTCCACCACTCCGCTCCACCTCACTACTCCACCACTCCACCCCACCTCACTGCTCCACCACTCCGCTCCACCACTCCGCTCCACCTCACCACTCCACCTCACCGCTCCACCTCACTACTCCACCACTCCACTCCACCTCACTGCTCCACCACTCCGCTCCACCACTCTGCTCCACCTCACCACTCCACCTCACCGCTCCACCACTCCGCTCCACCTCACTACTCCACCACTCCACCCCACCTCACTGCTCCACCACTCCGCTCCACCACTCCGCTCCACCTCACCACTCCACCTCACCGCTCCACCTCACTACTCCACCACTCCACTCCACCTCACCACTCCACCTCACCACTCCACCTCACCACTCCACCTCACCGCTCCACCTCACCGCTCCACCACTCCACTCCACCTCACCGCTCCACCTCACCGCTCCACCACTCCACTCCACCTCACCGCTCCACCTCACCGCTCCACCACTCCGCTCCACCACTCCGCTCCACCACTCCGCTCCACCTCACCGCTCCACCTCACCGCTCCACCTCACCACTCCACCTCACCGCTCCACCACTCCACCTCACCGCTCCACCACTCCACCACTCCGCTCCACCACTCCGCTCCACCTCACCGCTCCACCACTCCGCTCCACCACTCCGCTCCACCACTCCGCTCCACCACTCCGCTCCACCACTCGGCTCCACCTCACCGCTCCACCACTCCGCTCCACCACTCCGCTCCACCACTCCGCTCCACCACTCCGCTCCACCACTCCGCTCCACCTCACCGCTCCACCACTCCGCTCTACCACTCCACCGCTCCACCTCACCGCTCCACCTCACCGCTCCACCACTCCGCTCTACCACTCCACCGCTCCACCTCACCGCTCCACCTCACCGCTCCATCACTCCGCTCTACCACTCCACCGCTCCACCTCACCGCTCCACCTCACCGCTCCACCTCACCGCTCCACCACTCCGCTCTACCACTCCACCGCTCCACCTCACCGCTCCACCTTACGACTCAACTAAATCACTGCACCTTACCCCTCACCAGCTCGCCTCACCACTCCCCCCCCCCCCCCCCCCACTGTCTCTCCCCAGCTCGTTAGTCAGCCATTTATTAACGGTCTTGATCTCCAAAACCGTGGAGGGGGGGCGGTGAGAGAGGGGGGCGGTGAGAGGGGGGGGGGGCAGAGCGCCGTGTGTTTGAGCCAATGAAAGAACCCCCCTTGGCCCCCAAGAGGCCATTACCCAAAGCCGTGGGGGGGGGGCTGCGTGTGAGTGGATCACTCCCCCCCTTCCCCCCTCCTTCCACCGTGCCACTGATTGCAGCACAACGGGAGGATAATTGGGAGGAAGGTGGAAACTTCGATTTTGTTTTAATGTTTCTCGAGTGTGCATCATCACCGTCATCGTCGTCATCGTCATCATCGTCATCAGTATCATCGTCATCGTCATCAGTATCATCGTCATCAGTATCATCGTCATCATCGTCATCAGTATCATCGTCATCAGTATCATCGTCATCAGTATCATCAGCAGTATCATCGTCATCAGTATCATCGTCATCATCGTCATCGTCATCATCGTCATCACCGTCATCAGTATCATCTTCATCATCGTCATCGTCATCACCGTCATCAGTATTATCGTCAGCAGTATCATCGTCATCATCGTCATCATCGTTATCAGTATCATCGTCATTAGTATCATCGTCATCATCGTCATCGTCGTCATCAGTATCATCGTCATCATCGTCAGCAGTATCATCATCATCGTCATCAGTATCATCGTCATCATCGTCATCATCGTTATCATCGTCGTGCAGTTGACCTGCCGCCCTCGTCTTGGGGAGTGGCTTCATCCAGCAGTGGATTTACTATGGCTGATGATGGTGAGATACCACTGGTGCACCCTACCCCACTCCGCCCTGCCAGCTTCCAAGGAAACCTGCCCCCCACTGCCCCCTTACCGTAAACCCCATCGAGACCCCTATCAGAACATCTTCATCCTACTCACACTTTGGACCGAAAGACTGATGCAGAGACCCATAAACTCACATAGAGACCCATAGACTTACATAGAGACTCTATGACTCACATAGAGACTCATAGACTCACATAGAGACCCATAGACCCACGTGGGTCTCTATGTGAGTGTATGGGGGGGGGGGCTGAGTGCAGCGCAAGGATTAACGGAGTCAATCAATCGGCGGCGCCACTCCACACGGCCACCACTCGCTCCACTAATTAAGTGTCAAGCCTCGTCTCGTTCACAGCCTCCTACACGCCCCCCCACCACCCCTCCCCCCCACGGACACATCCCCAACCGCTGCCCGCCTCTGACGATAAGCCAATCAACACCCCCCCCCACCCAAACTGAAGAGTCACTCGTGACGCCTACATTCACCATCATCGTCACAGCAACATCGCCTACCCATACGCATCAAGTCACCGCTGCGGACTTGCCCTGCAGCAACATCGCACAATCGTCCCTCACCCACCAAAGTCAACATCCCAACGAGACCGCCCATCGCGACAACGCCGACATCACCGACGTCAACCCACCGCCCCCCGCTGGCGCTCACCACCACCCAAACCCAACCATCGTCACTCCTGACGCTGCCGACAGGCAGCGTAATCATTATAATAATAACACCAGCGGGGTTATTATAATTATTATAACACCAGTGGGGTTATTATGCCACGGGGAATCGCCGCGTCTCATTTGAAACCTCCGCAATGGTTCCCGAGCGCTCGCTACTCATCCCCACGGCTGTTTCGCGGCACGAGAACGATTCAGAAGTCCTGCGCTTGAGAGCGGTTAGCAGAGACACACGGGGAGAGAGACGGGGGCAGAGGAACATGAGGAGAGACACGGGGAGAGAGACGTGTGCAGAGAGACACGGGGAGAAAGACATGGAGAGACGAGGCACAGACAGAGACAACGAGAGACACGGAGGGAGAGACACGGAGAGATGATAGGGAGACACTTTTAGAAGTAGACATCACACGCTGACGGGGAGCACGCTCAACACACAAACAACACATTTGTCAATTATAATAATGCATAAAATAACACTGCACATAAAGGTGCTATGAAGAAGGGCCATTTCCAGAAACGTTGCCTACGATATATTTTCCGTTTAAGGCCACACACGGTGTCGATGCTGTAGATGTGCGTCACTGCGTGTGTGGGTGTGCGCATGGGGAGCGGTCGCGCAGTGATGAGTGCACCGTGGCACCGAACCCGGCCAGCCCGAGTTTGATTCCCGCTCACGGCGGCCAACTTAGTAACTTAGTAGCCGGTGAAATGTACAAGCCTCAACACGCGAGGGAGACAAAGAGGGTCGAGAATGGGGCTGGCCACCCCCCCACCCCTCGTGCACCATGCTGGCCTTAACAGGTGCTCGCTAAGAGCACTTGCCCCAGCAGAATGTTGAAAACTATACGGGGGATCCTTGTCTTTGTGTGTGCGCGCGTGCAAGCGAGCGAGCGAGCGTCTCACCTCCGCTTTCCGGATGCTCTCCCGTGCTTCCTCCATCTTTGCCTCCATGTCAAGGTTGGCGGCCGGATCCGGAACTCCCCCCGGGCCCCCCGCACCCGCCATCTGCCCCTCCAGCCCCTCGAGTACCTAGAGCAGCACCATCATCATCAGCACCATCATCATCAGCACCATCATCATCAGCCGCAGTACAGACAGGGACCCACATCAGCCGGTGTGGTCGGCGAGCGCCCGTCACAGCCGTGTAGTGTCGGGGGGCAATTTGGAAGGCCTAGCCCCCCTGTTAGATTATTATCGTTGCAGCAAAAACACCGCTCGTGAAAAATTTGGCATTCAACGCAACTGATGACATGAAGGGATGGACGTCGCAGCCTCTCGGCTGAGAGCACGGATGAGAGTGGAGTGCACGATAGACGAGAGTCTCCCACCCACTGGGTGGGTGGGAGACTCACCCACTGGGTGGGTGGGAGACTCACTCACTGGGTGGGTGGGAGACTCACTCACTGGGTGGGTGGGAGACTCACCCACTGGGTGGGTGGGAGACTTACTCACTGGGTGGGTGGGAGACTCATCCACTGGGTGGGTGGGAGACTCACTCACTGGGTGGGTGGGAGACTCACCCACTGGGTGGGTGGGTGGGAGACTCACCCACTGGGTGGGTGGGTGGGAGACTCACCCACTGGGTGGGTGGGTGGGAGACTCACCCACTGGGTGGGTGGGTGGGAGACTCACCCACTGGGTGGGTGGGAGACTCACCCACTGGGTGGGTGGGTGGGAGACTCACCCACTGGGTGGGTGGGTGAGAGACTCACCCACTGGGTGGGTGGGTGGGAGACTCACCCACTGGGTGGGTGGGAGACTCACCCACTGGGTGGGTGGGTGGGAGACTCACCCACTGGGTGGGTGAGAGACTCACCCACTGGGTGGGTGGGTGAGAGACTCACCCACTGGGTGGGTGGGTGGGAGACTCACCCACTGGGTGGGTGGGAGACTCACCCACTGGGTGGGTGGGTGGGTGGGAGACTCACCCACTGGGTGGGTGGGTGAAAGACTCACTCACTGGGTGGGTGGGTGGGAGACTCACCCACTGGGCGTGCACGGAGACCTTGTGGTCTCGTGCCACCTTCGAGGCCCACTTGCGGGCCTCCTTGTCCAGGCTCTGGTCGACCTCCTCCGCTCCCTCCTCAGGGCCCAGCAGCTCGGGACCCTGGAGACAGGAGAAAGATGGAAAAGGGGATAGGGACCAGGGGACAGGGCACAAGGGTTAGGGGATAGCGGACAGGGGACAGGGGAAACGGGAGAGGAGACAGGGGGCAGGGAATAGGGGCAGGTGGACAGACCACAGAGGAGGGACAGTTCGGGCGACTGCTGGATTAGGGTTCCCCACAGAGCGCGGGTTTTGTGGGGTTTCTGTGACCATACTTCGCCACGTTGGTTGGTACAGAGTGGTGCCGGCGGGGGACACAGACGTGGGAGCACAGAAGTACAGAACAATACGAGTCTATTTGGGGAGACCTGGTGATAAATGGCGGAGCTGGGAACAAAACTTGCGATGAAAATAGAACATGCAGTTGCGTACACGCCACCGGCACACGTGTGACGGAGCACATGCGTGACGGAGCACACGCGTGACGGAGCACATGCGTGACGGAGCACATGCGTGACGGAGCACACGCGCAGGACACACAGGGCAATACGCAATGCACACGCCCACGCACGACAACACACACGCCCACCCACGAGAACACACACACCCTACGCGCGTCGAACTTTGCAGCCAAAGAAACTCATTGGGTGGAGGTCACGCCCACTCGGCGGCGGAGGGGAGGGTGGGGGATGTTTGCACAGAGGAGCCGATTCAATCCGGGCCGAGCGTGCCCGCCCGCACGCCCGTACGCCCACGCGGCTTCTCAAATTAAATCTCCGTTTGTTCATCTTTATTGAGGTCTTTCCCCCGACCTCCAAACGGCTCCCGCACCCCGCCGGAGTCAGGGAGGGGGGCCGTCCGGACGGCGGGCCCGCGTTTGGGCGTTGGGGTGAGCGGCCAGACCGGCCGAGAGGGAGAGCGGCGCGGCCGACCACCGCGCGAGCGGGTGCCGTGCGGGAAAGCGGCGCCGCCACGGAGACGGAGCGGCGGAATCGACCCGTGCGCGGAAGCCACGAGGACCGCGAGAGGCGGCGACGGCCCGGGTGGGCCTTCGCGCGGCGACGGCCCGCGTGGGCCTTCGCGCGGCAGCGGATGGAGCACGGGAGAGGGACTCACGGCGTCGTCGCCGGTGTGCGCGCAGAAGGGCGGCAGCTCCATCACCACCGCGTTCTCGCGCAGGAAGAGCTGCAGGTCGTGCTCGCGAGACACCTACGGCGGCACGCACGGCACGCTCAGGACAGCGCTCAATACACAGACAGCACACCGCCTCGCGCAGAGCAGGGCACGCCCAGTACGTATACGGAACTCGTGCAACACACGTACAGCACGACCGTGCGCATGCGTGTGTGCGTGTGCATACGTGACCGCACTTGCGCGTGCGTGCGTCTGTGTGCGTGCAGTGGTTAATGCACTGCGCTATGAATCCATCGAACCAATTTTGATTCTCGCTCATGGCTTACATTAGTGGCAAATATTTGAACAGGTTTCTGGTCTTCCCCTAGGTCAGCTCAGCCTTAAAAAAGCACTGGAGAGGAAAAGGTGTAGAACGGCCACCTTTGTCTCCCCAGTGGAAATGTTTACACAACGCAACAGGTCCTCATTTAAGGCTGAAATTAACTGAGGGAGGCCCCGGACCGGTTCAAATAATTGTCACCGATGGTGGCCACGAGCGGGAATCGAACGTGGGTCGCCAGGTTCGTAGCACGGTGCACTGACCACTGCACTCGCGCTCCCCACGTGCCAGTGTGCGTACCCCGTGTGCGGCCTGCAGCAGGGCCACGAAGGGCTCCTGCGTGCTCTGGCACGATTCGAGCTCCGTCTGGCCCAGCACGCAGAAATACTCGCACAGCCGCTCGTAGACGTCGCCATCCAGAGCCTGCAGCGCCCACACGCACGCACACACGTGCACACATACACACGTGCACACACACAAGCAATCATCATCGTAACGACGTCAACTCGCGATGCTGTGCCACTGCTACCGCGCGGTATCCGCTCCTCGCGCTCACAGCGAGAGGGGGGGCCGTGTCACCCCAACAGTGCTGCTGGGGCGAGTGCTGTTCTCGCACTCTTATCTACATGCTATGACGAAAGGCCGTGGCCCAAATCGTCATCTATTATATATCTTTAAGGCCACAGGGTTGTATTATTGACAAACGTGTTATTTGTGCGCTTGCACCACAGCCATCACAACAGCAGCGTCAGCGTCACCAGATAGCTCGAGTACCCAAGAAGACCGGCAAGGCGCACGAGGCCAGTGTGGTGCAAGCACCTACACCCGGCCACCTTTGTCTCCCCAGCGCTGACGCCGCACAGAGCCACACTCGGCGGTTATTTTCATCGTCGCGTCACCTTTCTCGACCGTCCTCCCCCCGGGCCGCCATCCGGGCTGCGGCCGCGTGGGCTTGGCCACGACGCCCACCGCGGACCGGCCACTGGGTGGCGACACCGCACCGGCGGACGCCGCCCGCGGCGGGGCACGGCCGTGGCGGGTCAACTCGACGCCGCCCGGACCGCGGCGCTGGCGGCCGTGGCGGGTGAAGCCCGCGGGGTGGCGCGGCTCCCGAGTGCCCAGGCGGGGCGACGGCAACAGGGTGCCCCCCCGCACCAACCGGGCTACGCCGCCGAGGGTGGCGGCCGTGGAGAGTTCGTGGAGAGTTCGTGGCGAGTTTGATCGCGAGTTTAGGGAGACTGTGGAGGGTTGAGGGAGAGGCCGTGTAGAGGAGAGGGAGGGAGAATTTGGGGCACATACCGAGAGCAGCGCGGGGATGTCGGTGCTGGCGTGGCGCTGCTGGTGAGCGTTGGCGCCCGCCACGCTTATCACGTACTCGTTCCGTGCCTGCCGCAGCTTCACGTGGCACTCCTTCCGCCTCGCCGCCATCTGGCGGGCAAGCGCGACACCGCCACGCCGCGGTCAACGTCACGACCCGGGCGACGACCAACACCACATCACAAACACCGCGATCGTGGCGCTGGCGCCAGTGACGGTGCAGGCGGACTCACCCTGGCGTTGGCTTTCTGCAGGCTCGCCTTGGAGTGGAAGAGGCTGCTGAACTCGCTCCGCTTGAGCCTGGAGAACCCAACGCACACGCGTGTCACACGCTGCTCCAGCCACCTTGTCCCCGTGTGCCCTGTGTTCGTGTGTCTCCTTGTGCCCGTGTAATCATGTTCCTGTCTCCCCGTGTCCCCATCTCCCAATCTCCACATCTCTCCGTGTCCCCCATCTCCCCGTGTCCCCATCTCCCCATCTTCCCGTGTCCTCATGTCCCCGTGTCCTCCATCTCCCCGTGTCCCCATGTCCTCATCTCCCTGTCCTACCAGCTCTCGGTGTCCCCACTCTTTCCTCGCGTCTGATTGGCCATTCGCTCCAGCTCAGAGAATCTCTTCTTGGCTTTCTCCAGCTCCTTCACCGTGTCGGCGAGCTCAGCCTGCAGAGTCACCAGACGGTCCGAGCACTGCGGAGACACACGGGGATACACACCGGGGGGGGGGACACGGGGACACAAACGGGGACACATAATGGCACAAATGCACAGACACATGCATGTGGACACACGGACGCGAACAAACACACAGGCCACACAGGCACACACGGACACGTGGGACACACGTACATTGACATGGGACACACATACATGGACACGTACAGACAGACACGGACACATGGACACACACACACGGACAATCACACATTGGTCAGGTACGGCGACCGTGGGCGAGCATTGGGCTACACGAGCAATGGGCGAGCAGTGCGGGTGCCCCGTGTGGGTGCCCGTGGAGAGGGGGAGGGGGGGGTCCCGCGTCTCGCCGCACCTTCTTGAGCTGGGCGTCGCGCGCCGCCCGCGCCGCCTTGGCCGGCTCGGCCACGCGGCTCCGGTAGCTCTCGGCCGCCACGAGGCGGCTGTTGGCGGCCTGCAGCGTGCCGAGCAGCACGAGGCGCCACACGGCGAACGCGCTCCTGCTGCCGCTGGGGGGACACGGAGGGGGAGGGGGGCGATGGTCGCCACGCGCGGAGTTACGGGCCGTCGCGCGCGGCGCCGCGATTCATCGCGCGCCGCGCTGTACGCCGCCACGCACCGCCGGGTTCGGTCGCATGGCACCGCGTGAGCGCCGCTAAACAGAGAGGGGGGCGTGCGGGGACGGAAGTCCCACGCCGAGTGCCCGGCGACTCGGCACAGGGACGGGGTTAACACTGCGCGTCAAGGGCACACCACCCATGCGCCACCACCACCACGGGCAGGTTGACACGACGACGACACACCGCCACCATCACGGGCAATCACTCATCACCGGCACACCATCCCCACTCACCAGCGTCATCACACGACACCATGCACACCCGTGTGTGTACGTGTGTGTGTGTGTGCACACGTGGCACAGTGGGAAGCACAGGTGGTGCATCTGCCACCCATCTCAATCAGTCAACCCATGCCACCTGGGTCTGTCCCCTTCCACAAGTGCTGTGGTGACATCAGCAGCACTTAGTGGCGGCTGTTGTTATTGTAGGCGCGTGTGTGTGTAGGCACATGTACATATAGTGTGTGTGTAGGCACATGTACATATAGTGTGTGTGTGTGTGTAGGCACATGTACATATAGTGTGTGTGTGTAGGCACATGTACATATAGTGTGTGTGTGTGTAGGCACATGTACATATAGTGTGTGTGTGTGTGTGTGCGAGGGCAGGACGTACGTATGGGTGTATATGCACGCAAGTGTTTGCGAGTGTTCTTGTGCGCGTGTGTGAGTGTGCGTGTGAGTGTGTGTGTGAGTGCGGGTGAGTGTGCTCGTGTGTGAGTGAGTGCGTGTGTGAGTGCGCGTGTGTGAGTGCGCATGTGTGAGTGTGAGTGCGTGTGTGAGTGCGCGTGTGTGAGTGCGTGTGCGTGAGTGCGCGTGTGTGAGTGCGCATGTGTGAGTGCGTGTGTGAGTGCGCGTGTGTGAGTGCGTGTGCGTGAGTGTGCTCGTGAGTGTGCGAGTGCGTGTGTGAGTGCGTGTGTGAGTGCGTGTGTGAGTGCGTGTGCGTGATTGTGCGAGTGCGTGTGTGAGTGCGTGTGCGTGAGTGTGCTCGTGAGTGTGCGAGTGCGTGTGTGAGTGCGCATGTGTGAGTGTGAGTGCGTGTGTGAGTGTGCGTGTGTGAGTGCGTGTGCGTGAGTGTGCTCGTGAGTGTGCGAGTGCGTGTGTGAGTGCGTGTACCTATTGTTCCCTCCCTCCGGTTCTTGCACGCTCCACTCTCTCCGAAGGAACTGTGACGACAGCTTCTGCAGGCCCTGCACACATGTGTGTACGTGTGTGTACGTGTGTGTACGTGTGTGTATGCGTGTATGCGTGTATGTATGCGTGTATGTATGCGTGTGTGTGTGTGTGTATGCGTGCGAGTGCATGTGTGCGACAGACACGTCAAGAATTAGGCGCGCAACAAGTCCTCAAATACAAATCGGACCTTAAGCTTACAACACACCTGCAGGATCTTGGGTGAGCGAATCAATTATTTATGACGATGCAAAGCATATGCAAAGTATATGCTCATAATTTAAAAAAATGTGTTGAGCATTGTGAACAGCCTGGAGGATGACACAATTGTTGTGAAACTCCTTCCCGGTGGGCGCCATGGAATCTCCCCGGTCGCACCCGTTCCTTCCCACACATTAATTGCCCACTAACACTTTGATACGTAGAGGACAGCAAAGCTCGGGTAAATCTGGCTGCTGCCTTCCTGCTTCTCTGTGGTTCCTCGTCCTCATGGCACCTCTGAGTCGGCCCCTCTCTCGTTCTTGCAGAGGGCGACGACCACGCGGCAGTGGAGCGGTGTCACAAGCGGACATTATTATAGGCACCCTTGCAAACGAGATGTGCCCAACACGTGGGATTTATCCAGGTGGAATATGTCAATTGTAAATACATAGAAACAGGATAAATGTTCAAACTACGAATTGCTGTGTGGGGGGAAGGGCATTCCAGGTCCCCCCATTAACCCCAGAGTTGAGTGACACCTGCGTGCCCTAAACAACCGGATTACAGCCATCATCATCACGCCCCGTGTGACAGCTGCACACATCACACCAAACACAAAGATCACCCCCCCCCCACCTCCATAGCCTATGCAGGCTGGGTGGGTTCCACATCAAACACAGACAAAGATCACCCGTATAGCCTTGAACAGACTCTTGGGACAAGTGTTACTCGTGAGCGAATTTGAAGGTTGACACGGCACAGGAAGAGGTGGGTGGCCAGAACCACGCCTAGCCACTTTTGTCTTCCCAATGCTGATGTTTTACACCCACACACACGCGCCATCGGGTGTCTCATTTGAGGTGGAGTTGACCTAGAGGAGGCCCAGGAGGGGTTCAGATATTCGTCACCGATGTTGGCCATGAGCGGGAGGAGCCTGCCGGCTCCTCTCGGAAGGGGGGGCCAGTCGAGCTTCCGTGTGGGGGGCCTCCGTAACGACTGGCCAAGGCGACCGCCGCCGGTGCTGCCGCTGCTGCTGGCGCAGGGCCCACGCCAGGGCTCCACGAACTGGCGGAAATCGACCTCGGGGCGTGGGGTTCATGGCGCAGTGCGCTAACCACTGTGCCACCGCTCCTCAACACACACACACATCACACATCGCACACGCGAAACGCAACACAGAGACCCGTCGGGGTTCGCCGAAGGGTTCGAATCGAAAGGCCCGGTGGCGACGAGCGCTACGCCTGGCTGGCCGTTGTCGAGGTCGCGATGGCCCACCACCGGTCACGCGTGTCACGAGGAGCGGTCCTAGTGGGCAGTAGCTCACACTCGAGCCCTCGTGAGGCCATCGGTGAGGGCTCACACGGACAGGCGGAGGGACGCAGGGGTGTGGTGGGGGGCCCCATTAACCTTTAACACTGCGTTCTCCACGAGCCCCCCCCCCAGTACAACTCAATTAAGGAGGTGTTGAAGGAGCCCCCGATTAGCTCCGCGGGCGTGCACCGCCAAGCCCTGTAAAGCGCGCACTGTACGGCCCAAGAGACACGCGTACAATACACACACAAACACAAAGATACCCCGGGGAGCCTGCACAGGTTGTTGGGCAAAGTGCCATGAGCGAGCGCCTATGAAGGCCGGAACGATCCACGGATGAGGGGGTGCAGTGGCCTGTACCACACCCCGCCGATTTCTCTTCCCGGTGCTGATGTTGACGCACTGCGGTGGGCTTATCACTACGCTACCGTTCCCCCACACGCACAAACGCAGTGGCCGCTGTTGCGACCAAGGCACGGTGACGCGTCGCTGGTCTGAATTGTGACCGATAACCCCAAGAAGGACAGCGAGAAGAGACTTGGAGGGTTTGGGCTCGTGTCGAGAAGAGATTAGAGGCCCACAAACTGGCATTGGGAGAGAACCACACTCCCACAGAGAACTAGAGCATCATGTGAGTGTCTGTACGTGAATCTACGGATCATGTACGCAAATGTAAGTCTACGGGTGTCTCAGTGAGTCTCCGGGTCTCTGTGCAAGTCTGTCACTCGCTATGTAAACACCGAGCACGTGACTCCAGAAGAGACATCAAGCACATGGAGAGAATAGTTTCAAACAGCCGACGCCAACGCAAGAATGAGACTTCTGGCTCAGAAGAATCTGGCAGATGCTCGCTCGCCCGCTCACAAACACGAGCATTCCTCCGCACCATCCCCGCTTCCTGTCGGGTCTTAGTTTCTAGCGGACGGAGTGGGGGGGGGGCGGGAGGATGGGGGGGGGGTCAGGAGAGTGAAACCCATCTGTGGGCAACATTCCGCCCTCTCCATAGTCCCTCGTTACCCCCCACCCCCCCAAACCCCTCTTCCACTCAGAGTCCATTGGCTCGTGGCGCGATCGTTCTCATAGTGCGGTGCGGCGACACCGCTACGGAAGGCGCTGCTGCTGCTGCTGCAGCTGCGTCCCAGCGGGGGCGGTGGTGCCATGCGTCCTGTGCAGGAACCCATGGAGCGACGCGCGGAGTCATTTTTTCGAAATTGGAAAAAGCGGACAGTAACGGCGGCACCCAACAGCCACCAACAACCTTTGAGTTTGCCGAGCAGCAATAGGAGGCTAATGTTTACCCCCCAGTGAAACCCCCCCCCCCCCCCACCATAGTAAGTGAATCTAAGGGCTAGCGATCCATGAGACTTGACGTGTGCACACACTCACACACACGGGCCAGGAGTGAAGCCCATGCTCTTCTTGCTGCTGGGCACACGCGTCCCCAACTGCGCCATCCTGCCCGTGCCCACTGTGCGGACGCGGGAGGTGGTGCGGCGGCGGCGGCGGTGGTGGTGCCGGTGATGTCACCGCACCACCACCACCACCACCGCACCGAATCGCGATTTGGCTCTGCCGCCCGCCGGCGCGCTGTGCGCCAAAACCTCCGCGGGAGCTCCTGGCCACGCGGATTCCCGGGAGGAAGTGGAGGGTGACGCCCCCCCCCCCCCCCCGCCCCCACTAGGGCGGTGGCGGCGGTGGCAGCGCTCACCGCCCGGGCCTGGCGGGCACCGCCGTGCGTGACGGCGGTGCCGGCGCCTGGGAACGTGGCGCACTCCGGTCTCTCACACCTCCACCCTCACCTGGGAGACGCGTGGGGGGAGACGCGTGGGGGGAGACGCGTGGGGGGGGCACGTGGGGGGAGACGCGTGGGGGGAGACGCGTAGGGGGAGACGCGTGGGGGGGGGCGCGTGGGGGGGCACGGAAAAGATGGGATGGGAAGATGCAGGGAGAGGGGGGGCATAGGGAGATGTGGGGAGAAAGGGGGGTGCTAGGGGAGACGCTAGGACACACGTGGGACTTCCCAAGGGATGAGTCGCTATGAGCCACGAGACTGTGATATGCACACTGACCACATGAACCTCACACTGACCACATGAACCTCACAATGACCACGTGATCCTCACACTGGTCACGTGAACCTCACACTGGTCACGTGAACCTCACAATGACCCCATGAGCCTCACAATGACCACATGAGCCTCACAATGACCACATGAGCCTGCCAAATGAATCATATGACCGTAACACGTGACAATGTTTTAAATTCTATTATAATTATGTTTGTTTACCCAGGAAAGCATCACTGAGTCTCAATACTCCTTTTCAGAAGGGTCCTGCCAAGGTTCCGCCATAGGGGGCGATGATTGCTGTATGGAATCTAAGCAAATTATTTGTGGCGACTTATTTTGCCAAATTCCTGACACACGGGTTCAGGCACACGGCCCACACAGCATTTCAACTTCTGCCACTCTCATCACTCGATCCTCGGGCACACAACCCCCCTGGTGCATGGCACACACAACTCTGAACCACTGGTCAGATACATGGCCCACAGAGCCCGAATGGAATTGATATATACAATTATAACAATAACAATAAACAATGTATCACGCACGCGTTATCTCGCGAATCGGACGTGATGTTCGATCGAGAACTCGGCGGTCCGAAGCCAGAGCTCAAAGTCCTCCGTACGCAAGCCTGAACAGGTGAGGGCCTGAACAGGTGAGAGACTGAACAGGTGAGAGACTGAACCAGGTGAGAGTCTGGATAGGTGAGAGACTGAACCAGGTGAGAGACTGGATAGGTGAGAGACTGAACCAGGTGAGAGACTGAACCAGGTGAGAGACTGAACCAGGTGAGAGACTGAACCAGGTGAGAGACTGGATAGGTGACAGACTAAACCAGGTGAGAGACTGAACCAGGTGAGAGACTGAACCAGGTGAGAGACTGAACCAGGTGAGAGACTGAACCAGGTGAGAGACTGAACCAGGTGAGAGACTGGATAGGTGACAGACTAAACCAGGTGAGAGACTGAACCAGGTGAGAGACTGAACCAGGTGAGAGACTGAACCAGGTGAGAGACTGAACCAGGTGAGAGACTGAACCAGGTGAGAGACTGAACCAGGTGAGAGACTGAACCAGGTGAGAGACTGAACCAGGTGAGAGACTGAACCAGGTGAGAGACTGAACCAGGTGAGAGACTGGATAGGTGAGAGACTGAACCAGGTGAGAGACTGAACCAGGTGAGAGACTGAACCAGGTGAGAGACTGAACCAGGTGAGAGACTGAACCAGGTGAGAGACTGAACCAGGTGAGAGACTGAACCAGGTGAGAGACTGAACCAGGTGAGAGACTGAACCAGGTGAGAGACTGAACCAGGTGAGAGACTGAACCAGGTGAGAGACTGAACCAGGTGAGAGACTAAACCAGGTGAGAGACTGAACCAGGTGAGAGACTGAACCAGGTGAGAGACTGAACCAGGTGAGAGACTGAACCAGGTGAGAGA